GTCAAGCCATAAATGATTTATTCTTATAGGTAACACAATGTACATTTAGATTAAGAAACAATATTCCCTAATTAACTGTTTATATTGAAAGTAGTAGGTAGTAGACATAATACTTTCTCTAATGTTACTAATGCTTTTTCTAGTTCTCGCTAATTAGGTTTTGTTATAATCATAATTTAGTGTTCTAATTAGTAGTCAGTACGTCCAGCTACACCTAGTTGAATAAGTAAGGCATGTTGATGGCTGTATTTGGGTCAATGGCTATGTATCGTTTTCAGTTAATGGAGAACTTCAAGGTGGGTTACGAAATTTCCATTTCGATGGAGGTGAAGCCTCGGAACTCGACTGGGCTGTTGCTAAGTGTACACGGCAGACGAGACTTTATGATTCTAGAACTTCTAGAGAATGAGGTAGTCGCCAACGTGGAGAATGGTAAAGGGCCTTTCCACGCGAGCTACAAATTGGGAGACAAGTTTTCTCTATGCGATGGAAATTGGCACAGAATATATGGTAAGTTTGTTTTTGGACTCTCAAACTCATAATTTTGTTTCTTTATTGTATTTTTTATTTAAATCATTTCTTCGTTTGCAATTTTTAAGGTTTTCGAAAAATCATTTGCGTCATTTGCTGTTATTTCCAACTGTTATAGCGACCGGTTATTGAAAGAACTACATTAAATTTGTTTACAAATTTTCGTAAGTTGGGATCGCTCTGTCACTTTTACCGGTGTACCTAACACGGCTCAGCGGTGATATAGTAAAATTTTAAATACGCCCTTATAAATCCTTTATTTTTTAATTTAGTGTAACAGTTTTATTTAATTGTTAGTTTAGGTTGTGTATAAAACATAGATAATATATTTACCAACTACATTGTCTCAGTGCGGAGCGATTTAAAGTTTAAACGGACTAAAGACAACAATATAGATATATAAACATTCTTAAATCACTCTGTCTGGTGAATTCCGTTAAATTCGTAGACAAATAAGCGATTTTATTTAATACAAAAATAATATTCAAAAACAATATCCCACTGTAGCCACTCACTCAAATAGAAAATTATTTGCAGCTGTCAAGTCTCGTCACGTGGTATCTGTGGGCGTGGACGGACACTTGTCAGACGCTGGTTTAGGTCAATCTGGATCCACTGATACGAGGTCTGCACTCTACATCGGAGGGCACGAACGCCCTGTTTACAAGGTCAGGGGTGTGCGCTCAAGACGCGGCTTCACAGGGTGTATTCGTAACATTGTGATTAACAACACGCCAATCCACATACCCCTAAATGCCGCTAAACGCAACACGCATATCGGCGTATGTCCTAACGACTAAATTTTTATAAATATGTAATTTCCTTCAAATCAAATATAATCGATTAAAGCAGACACATTGTTGATTTTACTTTTTACTACAATACTATTTAATATATAAGGATGCTAATGTGTATTACTTTCCTGAACTTGTAATTTTTTACTATATACGTATATAATTCAATAAATATCAACGACATAGATGTTTTATTTATTACCTTCCTTGACTAATTAAAAATATATATTACAAATTAAGTAAATTTATATATAAGGTTTAAAAATTAACAAATTGGAATCCATTTAAATAATCAGATGCATTATAGGAAGTAGGTTTATATGGTTTTTAATTAGATTTTAATTATGCATATTACCTACGCTACCTGTGTATGGACACTTCACATAAACAAAATTTGTAAAAATATTGTTTATTCTGTTATGTTAATAGACGTAATGTCTTTATGTTGCATGAACGTGACCACACTAGGGGCGAAGTCGCCGGCACCGTCCGTATATAACAATAGAAAAATTAAGTCCTTACCAAACATGTCTAAACCGGGGAAAAAATATTTCAATTTAGGTATATTTGACTGGCAAAAAATATTGGCCAGGCTGGCTACTGTCGAAACTGAGGTATTCGTATCACGGCTCAGCCAATGAGTTTATTCTGAGCACTCAATTTAACGCTTCCGTAAAGAGTGAAAGAAAATATCGTGATAGTGTGTTAGGCACAGGAGGTCTATTAAAAAAAGAAAACATTGATACAAAAGTCACCATTTACGTTTTTAATTTAACAAAGCCCAGCGTATTTAATTGAAAATTCAAACTCAAATTTTACAATCTTCACCATAAATGTATAAGATTTACCGAATTTATAGGAAACTAGTGGACCCCACAGACGTTGTCCTGCATGATATTTAAAGCGATTAGAATATTAAGCAAAGTATGAAAGTACCGACTGCAGTGCCATCTGCCGGGCTGATTTGTGAATCTAAACCATTCCCAGATCCCCTTGAATACACACAAAAAATTTCATCAAAATCGGTCCAGTCGTTTGAGAGGAGTTCAGTCACATACACACGCACAGAAGAAATATATATATTAAGATTTAGTACATATATTATTAATGAGAAACAAGATAATTCATAATTCTTTAATACTTCTTCAAATTACATAACCATAAACGATGAACGCTTAAAAAAGGCACTGTTTAAAAAATAACATGATATCTTCTCAGTAACAACGCATAAGGCAAGTTTGTACGTTGATAAAAGTTATGCTTGTACCTTATACAAATTGAATTGATCCCAATCAGGATACTATTGCTAGTCAGTAATTAATTTGTTTTATTGACCAATATTACTAGGTATATGCCACTAATTATTACATAAATAGATAAGTTTTTGCCTGTAACAGTTTCTCTACATGGTAAGCCTAGTAAGTGGTACTCTACCCAGCTGAGATTCTGAGAAAACATAGGGACAAGTGACCCACAGAAACTTGAAACAAATAAGCTAAACATAGCTAACAAATTTATAAAATGCTTCCTTTACCTTTAGACATTTCATATTATATTAATTCGTTTTTATGACTTAAGGAAATAGGTGCAATATAAAAATAAGAATAATTATTATTTTTGCATATTTAACCGTGAAAAATATTTGCTATTGCTCAATCAATAAACATTGACATACATCTCTGATTTATCGGATCGTTGTTACTAAGAATTGCTGAAAAGAATATCCGGCCTAAGTGTCATAACGAAATTACAACAAAATTTAAGTAATAATTATCTTGAAATTAATATAAAAATTTACAACACATTTATATTATTCGTATTTAAATTTTGCATTATTATGAAATAACTAGGCATAGTTAGATGTAAATCGAAAAGATTTCCTGAAGATTTTTTTTAATCTTTTGTTTTTATTTTAATTGTATAAGTGTGAATTATAAAAATTATCATACATTACATCTACACTTTATATTAATTTTTGGTGTTCAGTTTAAATCACATTTATGATAAATTTATCTTATATAGAATGGAGGACTGATCCGATGCAAATCTATGATAATCACTCAATTAAGTACAAGTCCCACAGTAATCTATTATCGCTCGTAATGAGTAATCCCATGGCTTTTTTTAAATTCATTCACATTATATGTACAAGTTAAATAACTATAAAATAAATTGGTAAAACGATCTTTTTTATTAACAATATAATAAACATTATTTCATAAAATATTACTAGCTAGCGCTTCTATTGTTTAAGTCTATATGTTTGTAAACGATAAAGGCTAACCATGGCAGAGGTAACGAAGACCAAACTATGAAAACACACTGCAAGATTTTTTTGGCCAACACAGCTGAATAAGAGCAGCGTTAATTTGATAAAGATGTTATATGTATATGATTAACAGAATTTGCAAGCATATACAGTGGATTTCATTTATTACTATCTTGGTTGTTGCGACCATTTAGTTATAACGACGTTAAATCTAAGTCCCTAGAATTTAAGAATATTAAATATTTCGAAGTTGTAACAAATTCCTAGAAATCCTATGCAGATTTTGCGACCAGCCGCCAAAGTCACAAATATTTCTTATCTTTTGTTTAAATTCACACAGTTGGTGAAACTGTGGAGACCTTTACCTTTTGTTTATAGATATCAGTTAAGTAGGTAGGATAGGTAAGCGTTTACGTTAAAATTCTTAAACATTCAGAAAAACCGCAAGCCGACGAATCAAGATGTCGAAAATGCTCTTCTAATTTGATTCAAAGTCCAAAGAAGCCAAAACGTACCTTTGAGCGGTCGTCCGCTGTAAGAAAATACGATACGATTGGCTGGAACTCTTTACATAAACATTTCTTAAACTTATCCTATCCTGATCAATCGTGAAATAACTAATCCCAATCGACCTTTAAATTATAGATATTAAAGTTAGAAAGTTAGAAGTAGAAAATAGAATACACCCTACAGTATACACTAGCACATAAAATAAATTGAAACAAACTAATATCACACAATTTTTAAAATGTACTGAAAAGAAACTAGTGAATAACTATGTTTGCAAATGTTTTCAATAATAAATTAATATAAACTATACACATGTACTCGCCTTTACTTCTACCTTTGCCTGTAACGACGGATTAACGACGAAATTAGAATGGTCCCTTCATAGTCGTTATACGCGAAATCCACTGTACATATTTAGATATTATGGTCCAACAAGTTTGGTTACAATCACTTCGTTTAAATTGACACGATATATTACTACACATCGCTACCCCATTAACATCGGCTTAATTTAAGACAGCTTTATTTATTTATATGTTCACAACAAGACAAGGCCTGCCCATCCCGACATCAACATCCATGGTTGCCATGTTAATTATACTTGTAAGCCGTTTTCCATACACCTGTTCTACACGGCCAAACCACCTAAGCATTCCCTTTTGTATGGCCAGTCACCTCATTTGAGATTTCTTGGCTATACATAAAGGAATGCAACTATTTATTATATTCTCAGCATTCACTTGGCGTTCTATCTATCGCGGTCCTACTTTCCATCCGGATTAATTAATGATTAATTCACTTTCAATATTGCTTATCAGTGTTATTTAGAATATGTTCTTTTATGCTTAACATTAAATATTCACATACAATTTTTACATAAATAAATAAGATATATATTATTGGGGTTGGCTTTCTACGATAAGCATGGTGGGTACATCACGCAAACATTCAATTTGATGTACAGCCCAGTCTTTTTTCTGACAAAATGTTGAACAGTATAGTGTTCTACGACATAAGGAACACTCTGCTGATGCGGCGCGGTTACAATTGGCACACTGTAAGAAATACACAAAGTATTATTATACTATATAAAGTCATATTATCTTAATGACAGCATCCATTATTATTTCTGATCGGCTTTATGCCGAGATTGGAGTTGAGTGTCTGTTGCAAAAAGATCTTTAACAGCCTAAACAATGACACCTAGCTAGATTGCGTCAGAAACTATGGGATTGGTGTTGGTTGGGGTGGCAATTGAAGTCCTCCTATATATCATATAGCCATTCTGTTTAATTTGCCACACCTCATATCTCTGAAGTTTTGGAAACTGATACTATATAGACAACATAGATGAACACCAGCTAGTTCTGCTATTCTCTAGAGATGTCAACAACCTGATAGAAACTTAAGAGATCAAAGACTTTTTAAATATCACTTCCCATTGAACACTCATTGAGTTATGAGTAATTTCAATATTTTCATAGCCCACCAACTTAAGGCTGCACGCTTCTTTAACTTCAAAATAATTATATTCTACAGGCGAACGCAGACAAGCCTGCTCTACAATTGCTCTGCAATGTCTCTGGGATATCTATTGTAATTTTATACGCCAGAGAAACAAACCAAAAAAATCAATATCTGCAGTTGAGGACTAGACCAATCCATCAGTTACCTAGATATAAGGAGCTAGGAGTGGATGGTGTCCGCCTGAGTGTTTAAAAGTATGAGCAGGGACATTTTTCCTCGTACCAAAGCAATGTGGCTTTCAATACCATAAAAAGTTTCTTAGGCAATTCAACAGTAAGAACATAAAACAATTAAAATATGTAATAATTTTTCTACATGTGTTATAACAAATTAAATGACACAATCAGATTAAATCAATTAAATAACACAATCAAAATATATATAATAAGTTTTTAGATTACCTTTTTTGAGCTTGCTTCCACAGTGTTTGGAGCAAACTCATCTTCAACTTGTGCTTCTACAGAAGTTGCTAATAATTCAGATGCCTTCACATGCTCAAGTCTTTCCAATTGACTCTTATTTATTGAATGAATATCTTCTACACATTGCTTTAGCTCCTGAGATAATTTTAGAAATATGTCCACTATATCATCCATTCGTTTCATTACACTGCTAGTAGTGGGTACTTCTAAAAATAGTATTCGTGTTAATAGTAGAAAAAAGTTAAAATGGCAGAACAATTTTTTTTGAGTTAATATCACAATAAAATAAAGAAATGCCAATATTTAAAAATAAGAAAATTTAAACTTGAATGTAAATTGTTGTTTAAAAGCCATAATGTGGTCGTATAATGTTTTAAATAATCAGTGATATGTGACCAATAAAAATGAATCCATAGTTTGCCTTTTTTCATGTTTCATAAATTTGCACAAACTATAACTAGATTCCATGTCTTTAATATCCAAACAAGATAATGTTTTTTTAGTTGTGACAATAGCAAATTGCGTTTGCAGTTAAATATGCAACAGATTATATAGATAAAAAGTAAATTACTTAATATGGTACCCACCTATTTCCTTAAGTGCTGGTACTGTTTTGCAGGAAAAACAAAAATAACAAATTAATTTAATATTAAATGTCTAAAAGTACAGGAACTGACAATAAAACATTTTATTTAAAAAAATTATTTTAGCGTTATTTATATTATTTATTTCAAGTTTATGTGGGTCACTTAAACACTATGCATTTTTGTTTCTCAAAATCTCAAATAAAAAATACCATTTATGAGGCTGTATTTGAGTTCCATCCAGAGTTAATTGATTAAAAGCATCCCAAAACTGTGTTTCAGGTTAGTAGGCAAAAAAGGCTCATCTACTTAAATATAATGATTATTGCCATATATCTAGAAATATTTGTCCCATTTAGTTCCATATAAAAAGCCATTTACTTACTAGCAATAGTATCCGGAGTGGGATCAGAAGCTAACAAATCATAATCACTGGTACTTTCCAGCTCTTCTGCAATAGACTGCCATGTCTCTTTAGAATTGCTGTTATGACACATATCTATATCAGGCTTTTCTGGTTCATGTTTACCTTTGGATCTTAATCGGTTTGTTTTTGTTTGAATATCATCTAAAACATATTCAATGTTGTATAAGGCACAACCTACAGACTTATGCTAAGAAAAAATTTAATACTTTAAAACAGTACCTTGAGGACTACGTTTTTTTCTTTTGTATGGTATAAACAACCTCACAGGGCCTGTTGCTGTAACAAAACATTTAATAATCAGATCATTGACTAAAAGCATATATATTAAGTTTACAAACTCATGAAATGTTACCTGTCAGATCATCACAACATGCTCCACATGTGCAACTTGCAGCATGAGGAGTCAGGATACCTTCTTCAATTAGCACTTGTAAACTTTTACCACCAAATCTAATAGACCTTTTCCAGTCCTTACTGGATGCTCTACCACATAAAGCCTCAAATTCACTTGGCGTATACCATTCAGAACAATACTTTATACACTTTCCACGGCCACCAGACCCAAGCTTGCTTTTGTGTAATTCTGCCGAGGTATTTTTGCATCTTATCGGTATAACAGGCATATTTGCTGTTTCCGTCCATGACTGATTACTGCTGCTCGTACCTGATATTGATGAATTTGTATTAGAGTTTATATGTTTCGATTCTTGTGGGTTCGGCAAATCTGATTCTTGTATAACGATATGTGTAGTTTTAATATCTTCTGCAAGGGAACTACTCGAAATAAAACCGTTATCAACACAAAGCATAGGCTTAAAATGTGGCAACTGATCCGGTGCTATCACATTAAAAGAGGTCCCTGGCACTAGAGTGCCAACTTGTAAAGAGGCAGGCGATGTAATATAGCTGGTATCATTTGTAAATCGAGATGATTTGATTCCACGTTTTATTGTAACATTACTAACATCTGAAGGAACGCTATCGTGCTCGGTTGATGCCGACAAGGGATCGCCTTCGGTTGTTTCGGTAGAGGTCGGCATGACGACGTTTTCCGAACTTCTTTCGGCTGCCATAACAAAATATCTTCACACGCGCCCGTGACGAGAAATTGCGAATGTTTGTACAACGTTATGTATGTAAAACAAAAATATTACACATTTTTCAGACTTACTGTTGTTGTCGGCCATAACTCAATGTGTAGAATGTTAAATGTAGAAGATTGAATCGAATAGAAACTATTGAGGTTATGGCGGGAGATTTAAACTTTAAGGAACTGTAGTCCGAACTCCGAAAGTAAAAATTAGTTAGGGAATCAAGACCAAAAACAATTTTAATAAGTTAGTTTTTATATTTAGCCTCTTTGGTGTGGATATAATTATAATTCTTTCGTATGGGTATTGTATGTTATGGATATACTTAATTCATTTTAAGCTTAAGATAAAAATATAAAGAATGAGTTTTCCTTTGAAATAGTCTCCTATAAACTTAAAAAAATATTTCTGCAGCCTTTTTAGTTAACAGGGATTCTATTAAATTTGATTCTTATGTTGACTCAATTAGTATTTATTTTCGTTAAGATACAAAATCGTTTGTTAAGGTCAAAAATATAAATACAAATCAATTTACTAACTACTATATTAACATCAACTATTTATTTATTGTCACTTTGTTTTAGGGACTGAAATTAAAGGGCTCTACGCCCTAAAAACTAAAAAGTGGATTTTAGCTTCAAATTTTATCCGGGAGTAGCCTTCCTATTCTCTAGTCGGTGGTCCTTATATTATGACGTATTAGTATACTCTTTGTTAAAGGTAGACGTATATTTGTATAGTTATAGTTACTGTGTATCTGACATTTGATGATTTGTATCGTGCTTTATGATAAAAAAATATGGTAACTGAAAGCAAGCAAGTATAATCGTATTTTTCAATATTTTACGCCGAATCGTTGTGTCTTTATTATCTGTTCTTGCAAAACTTGCTTAGTCGTTATAAAAATATCGCACATAATCGTTTCCGATTCCGTGTTGAATTGTGTTAACATAAACATTTGTGACCTGTGATTAGAATTTTTCATGTTTAGTTGTCTACAATTTACAAGCATTAATATTAACTTAGCTAAATTGTTATTTGTTACAGGTGAGGTTTTCAATTGGATAATGCGAAGAGTGTCTTGGAAATATTAACGACATAATGGAAGATATACGCACTAAACATAAAACAATACAAAATGCTGCTCATCACATCGCTTTGGAGTGTATTCATCCGCAGGTAAAAATGGTAGATATGTTTTCATAAGCTTACTAATTAGTTTTCTCTGAGATTGCTTAATTCTTGTGATAATTTTTTTGCCCCTCAGACCAATAAGTCGTTGCCATATTAAATACCTTTAATATAAGTGACCTGTAATATTATGAGATAGTGCAGATATCCAAAGTAAAAAAAAAGTTTTGAAGCTAAGAAGATATTACTATTATGTTACCTATCAAATAATCAAATAGATTCATTCAACATTATAGTCTATTACAATTATATATTTATATAATATGTCCAATTATTATCCAGTCTCACTTAACTTTACTGTTATGAACGACCTGCTGTTCTTTGAAGTTTCACCCTCGTTAATTTAGGACCCTTGTACATGTCAGATGTGCGTTTGGTATTTACCCACTATACCTTTGTGGCAGCTTTTTTAAAACCCTGTCTCCTGAGTTATTAATTGTTTTTTTTTTTTTACATTTATGTGTGCTGCGCAAGTTATATAAAAATTAGAGACAATATGTATATATTTGAGAATAGACTTACCATAACCTATTTCTGGTAAATATTTTTTTTAGAAAATAATGTATTTTGTAAGAAATTAATTGTGTTGGGTTTATATGAACAGAATATTAATCCTTATCAAAACAAATATGCTGTTCTCACAATTATTCAATTTTCAACAAAATCTGGTGTGACATCATATAATTTAGATTAATGATGAACCATAAGAAGTTGGAGCTAGTTGATGGTATTTGTTCTTGTAATGTGACCCAGCTAGAACTTGTTCACAGTGTGGTTTGTTCATCTATGTCTGTATCCTTGGATATCACAGCCAGCACATGGATCCCCTTACCATGTACATCCTTATCCTTCACCTATCCGTCTTCAACACGCTTTTCAAGCTCAGCCAAGTCCAAAGATGTTTCATCCCAAGGGTCTGAAGCCTCTTTTTGTAAGTACTATTTCATTAAATAGACTTAATATATACATATATCCTACATAATTATTTAGCGTTTATTTCATAGGATACAAAATCAAATGGAACACCAAATGATAGCCCAATTCTTGGTCGGGCATTATGTCTTACTCCACGTGCAAGTCCTCTTCCAGGACGCATTTCACACTTAAATGAAAAATTTCAAGAATCTCTTGTACTCAATTCTGATACAGAGGCTCTAGTTGCCAAGATAAGTGCCATGTTCCCTACTGTCAGTGAGACACACATCAAGATATTGCTGAAGAAGTGAGTACTACAATACATCTTTAAAAGTTTTACAGGCGTAACTTTGTTTCTAATTCTATCTGATTTTAGGTACTACAACCGTGAAGCTGTAGTAATAAGTGCTCTACAAGTAGAAAAACACCCAATCACTACTCCAGGACCATTAACTGCATCTCCATCTGCTTCAAGATTACACAAAGGTGCTATGGGAATTCACTCAGCTTTACAGTTAGCAAAAGGAGTTTCTGGCTCTTTGCATGGATCATGTCATTCCCCATTTACATTGACACCACAAGGTTAAACATCATATTATTACTCATGTCATTTGCTTACATACATCTAGTTATCCAATGGGGGGAAAATTAAAGAAAGATAATAATTTTATTAAATAAGAAACTATAACTTATCAATGTTTTTAATTGCTTTTGATTGTCGTTGTTATACATTTCATTAAATACATATTCAAACCATTTTTATATTAGGTCCTTACATATGAAATTGGCAGTTTGTATGGGAGAAACAAAAAATAGATTTTTTTAAATAGAATATATTTATTAAATCAATTATGTGCCATTGCTATCTATGCACTTTTACATTTTATAGGTAGTTCATTGATCCCTTTACTAAAAAATCTTTGAAGGCGATTTCGACTCATCAATGTTAGGTTAGGTAGTTAAGTTAACCTAATTTCGAAAACATGGTTATCTGTTGGAGCAAGGTCCTAAAGCGATTGACCAGCCTTGGTTGTTTAGCAGCTGGCTTTTCCATCATGGTTTGCAGTTGCTGACAAAAGACATCTGCCGTAATCGTCTGGCGTTAGTCGATTTGCTTCACTCAATTTGTGAGGTACACCCACCTGTCAACCTTTTTCACTTTCCCAGTTTGCTTCAAGTGGATTAATACAGTTTTATTACTAGCACCGCCTGCAGCTAACTCAGACGTAGTTTGCGATGGATCCGCTTCCACAATAGCCTTAAATTTTTCGTTATCAACTTTGGTCTCCGGTCGTCCTCGGGGCTTGTTCTGCAGGTCGAAATTTCCAAAATGAAAACGTTGGAACCAAAAACGCACTGTGTTTTCTTTTGCGACACCACCGCCATACACATAATTAATCCTTTGAGCTGTTTCTGCATCACTGGTGCCACGGTGGAACTCATACCCATAAATAAGGCTATATTTCATGTTTGCCATTTCATAAATAGGTTGACGAAAAGAAAAAGAAATTAAAACGAGAAAATGAAATGAATTATGGTTTTCAAAAACAAATGTACGTGTGTATTATGTAATATACGTGTATAGCTGTAAAAAATTGTATTTGGAAGTCCTAACCAAAGGGGAGATATGGGGTCAAAGTCACTAACCAGTACGACAAATCGTCAATTTCATATGTAAGGATCTAATATGAACTAACTATATAACTTTTTCAATGATGTGCTACAGGTTCACCATTACTATTACGTCCGACTTCAGGTGCATCTAGTTATTATGGAACAACAAAATCATATGAAGGTGGTCAAACAACAAAACATCAATCTCCTAAAATGAAATTGAAGTAAGCACTGCATTGTACATTTTATTGGAAGCATTTATGTGCTAAACCTTGCTAAAAATCTCATAAAAAAACAGAAGGCCAGTTATTACTGTGTATATTTTTATAGTTGTTCAATATCCTTTTAATTTGACCTAATATGATTGTTTACAAAAATTATATATAATTTTATTTTAAAAACAATAAATTTAGCAGTACTGTGACCTCAAATTCCACGCTTTTATTAATAACACCAATATATTTTAAGTAAAATTGTCCATAGAAATAAATGTTTTGTTAATAATCGAGTTATTTTCATTTCAGATATCTAAAAAGTGTTTTCCCAAAAGCTGAAGAAACATTGATTTTAGATGTTCTAGCAAATAAGGACAACAATGTACAAACGGCCAGTGAAGAGCTTATTACTATGGGATTTAGTAAGAAACAGACCGTTATAATACCTGTCAAACAAGAATCTCCTCCGCCAGTCAAAAAAACCATCACATTAATGAAAACTACAGAAGAAAGAAAACAAAGTAGGTTTTTTTATGTCATAATTATTCATATTAAATAGCTCCCGAACTGCTATAGCGATTTTATGAAATTTTATGTTTGCCTGGACCTTAAGCGAAATCGTGTTTTTGTAATTTATTACTGAGCTGTTGCCTTACATTACATTACTTTAGTTGATGGCCTACGTTTATTTATTACCAGGATTTAGCTAGAGAAAATTTTATGATTCTATGTACAAAAATAGAAGGCTCACTGCTGAAACTGTGTTAAATACTGTTAAAAATATTTGCAAGTTCGTACAGGTTTATTTATAAACGTACTATAAGCCGTAATTAGTTAAACAATGTTTTTACACATTTTCCTGCTACGTAACACTTGATTTTATAACTCAGAACTTTCAATATGAATTTACATTGTACGATTTGAGAATAAGCTTTAAGTAAGCAAATATGCGATTTTTTGTATACACTAAATATTACATATTTTTTATATAATTTTTTTTCCGTAGTTAAGGAGAACTTCCAGAAAAAGTACAGTAGTATAGCAGAAAGAGTGGTTTCTATAGCTCTTGAAAGCGTCGATTATAATGAAGAAAGAGCTGAACAAATATTAAATGCGGTAATCCAAGAAGATGCCCAGGCCCCGAAATCGGTAACAGTTACACAGGCGAAGGAAACAAAACGCACAGAAACTCCAGAAACAAAATTGTAAGTTTAATTATTACCCTATTAAATCTATATTTAAATAATTATGTGCCTGCTTATACAAATGCAATTTTAAACCTTAACATTTTATATTAAAGCTTCTTAGCTTCACATCCGCACATATCGCCTAAAATAAAACGAATAAAATAATTTAAATACTATAATCTGACAAATCATAGGGTGATCTAGAAAAGAGATTTAGCGGTAAGTGCGACTCCCGTATGCCAGAGGTGTTGGATTTTGTCAAATACGAGTCATAGTTCGAGCTAAGTCTTGCGTCTGAATTACCCATCAAGATTACACACGAAGATTGGTCAGATTTCTATAATTATTTGCGGAAATTTACAAATCATATCATTCACTTAACATAGCAACACTTGTGATATAATTAAAATATATTACGATCATAAATGTTGTTTGATCATCGCCCATACTCATACATTCGGTGCGGTTAGTTGCGTCGAAGAAGAGGAAACGACTCCAGCGCCGGCCCCTGTCACACGCCGTATCAAGACATGGACGGAACATTTGAAGTATGTTTGCATGCATTAAGTTACCATGATGTAATAACCAACGAATCAGCTGTATATTATTTACCTTTAAACTTATTAATCTTGTTTTATTAACGAGAAAATTTTAGCGTCATATCTCGTCCCGCAAATGCTATTAGCAATAATTTCTTCATGTAATGTATAATTTAGTTGTATGGTAAAAGGTTAATTTCACGATCTCTTATTTATATTAACGCGTTCTAATTCTTATACACAGGTTATAATTTTTATTATCATTAAATTTTAAATTACAATAATGTTTCACCTCGTTTTATTACGCCACGGTAACTTATTTTCTGTCTTGTGTGCCAGCATGTAAGTGTTTGTTCATTAAAACATTTTTAGTATTAATAATTGTGTGTTGTCCGGTTAACTCGATATTATAAATCTTTGTGTAACATTAGCTATGTTATTGATGAAATTCGTTACCATGTAGTCCAGAATTGTAAAATACGTATATCTGGGACTGTGTTGTAGTATGTGAGTGGTATACATTTTCGTGCTTTTAAAATGTTCCATAACAGTTTCAAGGTATGAATGGAGTAGATTGTCCATGTTTCCGAATATAAATTCCCCAGGTGTAATAAGACCACTTTGAAATCGAAAACCACTACGAGCTTATATCAATTATTATAGGGTTTATTAGATAAAAATGTACCGAAAAAGAGGATTTTTTTCGAATTATAAAATATATTAGTTTTAATTGGTTTTCGTTTTTGGTAACGGTCTAATTGCGCTCTAAATGATGATTTCGTTCTAAAGTTATAATTTTATCGTTAGATGTCATTGTCATAACCATTTTATTATTTTAGCCTCAGTGAAATAATATTCGCTAATATCTAGCTCAGTAGGGGTTTTAAAATAGAACAAAACGATAGGTTTGCATGACTTACATGAATATAATGTGTGTGACGTTTTCAATTTAGATAAGAATTAAAAATTACCCGTTTTATTGTAGGCCCATAATTAAATCTTCAACGAATACCGAACCGAAATATAAGTCTCAATACTCTGGGCACAATACTGGTCCTAATCCAACCCTAAGGCAAGGGCCAAAGGACAATTTGTTATTGTAAGTATTGTTGTAAGTAAGATTTGTAAACCAGTGTAGCATCATCTTCTACTTTACTAATCTATAGTAAAAAAGCGTTGATTTTCATAGCTGGATGTAAGGTTTCAATACTAAACATGACAAACATCTATGTGACTATAAATCATTATAATATTTCTCGTTAATAATCCACATTGTGGTGGTTTAAAAAAAAAGCTTGTATTTTTTTGTCTACGGTATACAGAGTTATAAGACTATAGATATTTGTTAGAAAACTCTATATATATTTAATATGTGCATTTTCTGTACTTCTACATTAACTCTTTTAATTTGTGTTTGACTACTTTCATTAGGGAGGACTATATGACTTGGAATGGCCCAAATCCTCAACTTCGTATCGGCCAAACGGTTAAAGCCGATGGCCCAGAATCGCGTAAAAATACATTCATGGCCGTCTGTGGACCCTCAGGTACTGCTAAAGGCCCGGCAGGTATTGCAAAAGGCTCTGTGTACAATCTTAACAAGAAGACCGCAAAAATGTAAGTAATGTTCTCTGAGCCAACCATGGTATACATAAAAGAGCATGGAAGGGTTATAAAATCCGACCGAAGTTCTTCCTTTCCAACCTTATATAATTATCCCAGGTTTCTTATTGTCTAGTGGAGTATGGTAGCATTGATATTTTATTTAAAATTTAGTTCATCTGCTAAGTTGCTATGCATTAGCGTAGCATTGCTAAGCATAAGTATCAAATTCTGTGTCTTTCTGAATAAAGTTAGTTTTCACAGAACATTTTGTTATACATTAACCACCTAACTTTAATGTTTAAAGAATTTATATATTCATAAAAATTCTCTTTAGTCTGTTTCTGACAAATTATGTTAAAACTGTAATGAAAAGAGACCGGCGAGTTAAAATGGTACAATTCAACTGTTTTGTTTTATATTAAAAGTTTAAATTTTTTACATAAAAAGGTTTTTGGTCTGTTCTCATATTCAACGATTAAAAAAATTATATCAAATTTTTTCTCTTTCAGTGTGGTGTAAATGTTAACAAGGCATTCACCGTAGTAGTAGATACAAAAGTACGACATAGGTATTATGAAAGCTCATATGTTTAGATTTAAGGATATTTTTTTTATTTCTATGTTTTATAAGGAGAAATTATTTCTATATACATATTTTATTATCAAGTTATTTCTTAGTCCTTGATTTTCAATAGTTTTAAATAGCATAAGTACATTGGTAAATTTATTATTACGCAATGATTGCAAACTTCTTACCGTCTTCTATACGCCGTGTTCGATTATAGATTTAATCAAATATATTGTTATTATAAAATGTATTTAATATAGTGCGTCTGCAAGAAGCAGCAGAAAAGCTTACATTTTAGATACTAAATTAATGATTTGGACTTTAAATATTATTAAACGTCGATGGTTATTATTAATAATGCCAGACGGTAAGCTTGAGACACAGAAACAGGTCTAATCAAAGCACTAACTGATTAAATCTACCATCGAGTTACTTTTTATTACAATATATGTTTTCTCCATTTAATTGACTTCCATTTACCAAGACTTCGTGAATTTGAATTTTTATATATTGTATTACAGTTATAATATTGGTAATGATCAAATTTGTAATTTAAGAATTATATTCAATAGCGCTGTTTATTTTCCAACGTGTCTAAACGTTTAATACTGTTTTGGAAATAATTCAGGGTATTTCAAAATGAGACGACAGCTTAGCTTACGTCTGCAAGGGACTTTGTTCCATATTTAATTTTCCTTTTCTGTATTATCTCTTTAAACTGTGCCAAATTTAAAGCCATTTGAATAGATTTGTATAAAATTTAACGTAGAATGATTGCATTAGTCTAAATTAAATATATAAGTATTATGTGTATGTTTTTAAGTATAGACTAGATAATTAGGAGTGATGCACCATAACAGTATAAAGGAAACAATTTTAAAGCTCAAAATGTTTCTTGATAGCCAAAACATCGATTATATTGGTTTTAAATTAGTGATAAAGTAAAATATTTTGATCTCAAAATAATTCTAGTCTAGTGATCTAGTCAATTATATAAGTTTGCTGTAAGCTTTTGTCCAAATTAAAGATAATTTTAAAAGATGGTGTTATTGTTTCTTGTGTATTAATTTTTTTATACTCATATAAAGCTGTATAGTTTGCTGGAACACATTTGTAAATACTCTAAATATTGGTGAATCAAGCACAGCAATACAATCGACCAAACAGTTGCTAGGCCACTATACAGTAAAAAAGATACTAGAAAAAGGAAATACAATTTTATTAGCACACACACAAGAAGCGTTAAAATTAATAAATGTAAATGTAAGGATTGGCCTCGACTAAAGCAATGCTTTTCTCTAATTGACGTAATTCTTGTTCCATCTTTGACTTTTTAAGAATTTTCGGTGTGGTATCCGTCAGCATCGGAAGTTGTAGAAATGCCTTTTGCATTTTTTTCCAATTATTTTTTAAGTCCTGGAACCACAACATAGAAAAAAATACGCATTCACAGATAACCTATTGGACTACATATTTAATATTTGAGTATTGATCAAAAAAGAACCATAGATGACTCACAAGCTTTTCAAATCTACTGAACTGTAGTTTTAAAACAATAGCCCCTGAACGATGGAATGGAGAGCGAATCTAAGTTATTTTACAACAATTTAAACGTAACTACGTCTGTGACATGTGCAATTAAATAAAAAAAATATTCTCTCTGTTTACCTATGAAGAAAACTAATAAAATAGTCGCATAACTATGTCCGTGATACATGAAGGGGATACTTAGGTAGGTAACCCACACACTTACGTCTAGAAGGTTCTGCCGTTCTTCTTCATTTATCAGTTTGCAAACACTTTCTTTGTGTTCCTCAGCATATAAAATTTTCTCATATTCTCTCTGGCGTTTCCTGTTCATTTTAACCAAATATTCAGGCATCTTGCCAAAATCTGGCCGCAAACAGTATTCCGGTACTTCACCGGAACCTTTAATTTTTTTAATATGGCCGTCTCTTGTATCCACTAGTCTAAATAAGACAAATTTATTATTTCCTGAATTTATACAACTTAAACAATTTCAGTTAAAGGTATAACTACTTATAACTTGTTTAAAAACATTTTTACGTTTCGTCAAAACCTAACGTTTTTAATAAGGGCACGGTTTTACCTACCTTGGCTCCACTGGTTTGGGTTTGGTTTTTATTGCCTTTTTTATATTCAATACTTTGAAGTTTATTTTAGGCTTTTGCGGCTTTTTTCCGGGAGGCGGCCGTTTAGGAACTGGAGGGAGATTTCCAGATACAAAACATTTGTGGTCGGATTTTTTTATAGGTTGACCAATTCCTTCCCCTTTTTTCATAAATTGATCTGGTGGGTGAAGTGGAGTTTCTGCATAACCGAAAAGGCGTCGCATTTGTGGAAGTTTTGTTTCTTTCAATTGCTTCTCCAGCTTTGACTCATACCTGATACAAATATAAACTAATGATTATTATTATTAAATTACCATGATCTTTAGAGCGCTCATAGTAAAAAGCTAAATAAAGTATAAAATTAAAAAATATGCTATAGGTGAGTACCTATATCAGTATATAAATCTTTGTTATATATACCTACTCTGTTTGTTTATCAAATAAATTGTTTTCAGTGTCTTCTCGCCTCATCTAAGCCGTAAAAAGATAAATATATAACCAAGCCACAGTTTCATTTAATTTTTTTAATTATATTTAGTACACCCTAAAACCTTCTTAGTTTTTTGATCTAAATAATCATCTTTTAGAACATATTCCAAGTGTGTCTGTCCCTATGTGAGGCTAGGATACTTGCTCCATATGGTGGGGCCATCTAAGACTCGTGTTTACGATAGCATTATAGTCTTTTAGTAGATAGGCAGTGGCGTAACAATAAGGTGGGAGTGCTGGCAAAATGCCACGGGCCCCCGACCTAAGAGGGCCCCTGCCCAAGAGATATTATGTTCTATGGATGAATGTGTGGTCTCCAATACGCAGTGGGCTATCGTGGGGACTACAGAACATTCCCTCTCGCCTAAGAGAGGAGGCCTATGGCCATTAGTGGGACATAATATACAATGTGTAATTGATGACTCTGAAAATCTCAAAGTATATTAAAATTAGACTGAGTTCAACGTGACGATTTTTACTGATAGGGCCCCATCAAAAGAATTTGCCACGGGCCCCAGATGGTATACTTATGCCACTGTAGGTAGGTAGGGTTGAGGTTCTAAGAACTATTTATTGTCTTTTTTATATTTAGTTTTTCTCTTGACCCTATACCGACATTGCATTGACCTTTACTGAAAACTGACTGACTTACCAAGATTTCCTCAATTATTTAATTAAAAAAAAGGTTGAGCCTCTTCGCTACACTTCAAAATAAATAAATAATAATAATAAACTTTTAGATAAAACATCTAGCTAGCTAGATATGTGAATTAGTCTCTTGATGTGTATTAATTATTTTATACTTTCAATGCATAATAAACACCTACCGTGGTGTTTTAGGTGGGTCAGGAGGGGGTTTGTCCAAAATAGTATAAATTACTTCATCGTGTTTTGTAATCTCTACTATTGACATTTTTTTACAACTCAATATACAAATATTTAATATAACTATGTAAATTAAAATAATCTAAATTTCCCGTCAAGCAACAAACAAAATATTTGTTTACACGGCAACGCAAAGAGTACCTATATAATGACTTCGTTGTACGGTTACGGGTTAAGCACGATGGTAACGAGTTTCCAGGGCTAGAGATATGTGAAGATGTATATCAGTTTAAATATTTTTAGTAGGGACTGTCTCTATGAGACACCACTACCTTCTTTTTAATGATCGCCCTAATAAAGAAATGTTGCACATACAATAATTAATTATCATAACATCTCATTCTGTATATTTTAGGCAAATAAATAAAAATCTAGATTAAAAAATTCAAAATGTCAGATGTTATTTTCGTGTATCGTTAGTTTGCTATTTTAATTCGTAATGTTACAATAAAACGTTGTGACGTATTTCTTATATGAGTATGATTGTGTGTTAATCTGTATGATGTAGTCTATGGATTTTAGCAACTTGTATATCTGCAGTTGAAATGAGACCGTTCTTTTTATCTGTGTAACTCATAATTTATGTTGGCATTGCAATTTGCAATATTATGAAAACTAGGGATGTGACATTCTGCATAAATAATCGATTTTTCTTAAAAAAATAATCGATTTTTTTTATTAATCGATTTTTTCCTAATTTTTTAATTAATTTCAAAATAAACACCCTAAATATTTTATTTTTCATGGTTTTTTTAAATTAAAAATAAACAATAGAAATTATAAACACAAATTAACGTTTAAGAATAATCAAAATCGAAATTAACTTAATCTCGTTTTGATAAATGCTGAGTGTATTCCTTTTCAGTAGCACATTGCAGTATTTTTGTTGTCTTTTTAATTGTATGTAGTCTTGTGCTGCTGAATAAATTTATTTTACTTTTAAATTATAGGGTTCCATTCAAACTTGATTTTTTGTAAAATTAACTGCTTCTATCATCCTTTTGATGTTTTACAAAAAAACATCAATGTATCGAGTATATCAATACATCTTCAAAGTATCGGATTCAATGTATCGCATTGTAAACATCGTTGTGTATCGAATATCCCTAATAGTTCGAGGTCCGGGTTATAGAAGACCAGACATAATGTCGGGAGGTGGCAGATAAAAAATCGATTATGATTGATTTTCAATTATAAAAATAATCGATTATTAATCGATTATTTTAAATATAAAAATCGCGTAAAAAAATCGAGTGTTACTTTAAAAAAAATCGATTAAAATCGATTTTTTTAATAATCGATTATTTTTTCACATCCCTAATGAAAACTCATACTTTTAGTCTTTAGATAAAAAAAATGTATTTTATTGTTGACGAAATTTTAAATAGATACTTCGTATAATTTTTTTGACTTATTTACATTTACACTATTTATATGTTGTTCATATCAACTTAATAATATCATTAGTCTTTGAATGTCTTCTGTTGCAGTTTTTGTAAATTTTAAAGAAATAATGTCATAATAATTAACTTTCAGTGACTTCGCGCAATAGTTATAAAATATGTTAGCTAATCGTTTTAAGCAAGATATTTTTAGATTTAGCACTTATAAGTGTGTAGGGTTAACTGTACGGTCACTATCTAGCCTAAATATTTTGGATCAAAAGAAGAACTTAAGTAACTGTTTAGAGAATTTGCCCTCAAAGGCAAAAGTAGTAATATGTGGGGGTGGAGTTATGGGCGCGGCTGTAGCTTATCATCTATCAAAACGAGGATGGGGTGGAGACACAGTGATCATAGAAAAAGAAAGGTAAATTTTACCTTTGTCTTTGATTGTTGAAGTAAATACATGTATGTCTTTATAGGGTGCAAATACAAAACATATCTTTTGAAATATTGTTTTTTAAAGAAAAACATATCTATAACAGAGTAGGTGAAGGAAGTAGGTGGCATTCTTCCGGTCTTGTTGGAGCATTTAAGCCATCTTTAGCTCAAGTAAAAATTGCTCAATCGTCAATACAACTGCTTAAAGATCTTGAATCCCAGGGAAAAGAAACTGGTTGGAAACAATGTGGGTCTTTACTTATTGCAAGAACAAGAGATAGAATGACAGTATATCGAAGAATGAAAAGTCAATCAGTGTAAGTAAATTATTTTTAGGATAGCTACTAATTATACAGTTAACACTTGTAGTTATGATATATATTTTATTTACTTTTTATGTATACTTCTTCCAAACTTTATTAGTAGGGTTTGTGGGACTTTAATTAACTTAAAAAATAAATTCTTATTAGGTCCTGGGGTATATCTTGTGAGCTTGTGAACCCAAAAAAATGTCAAGAAATCTGGCCTCTGCTCAATGTTGATGATGTTCTTGGAGGCCTATGGATACCAGGGGATGGAGTGGGTGATCCATATCTTTTTTGTATGTCACTCATGGAGGAAGCAATAAAAAATGGTAAGCACACTATAAAAGCTAGTAAGTAAAAAGTTACGAGTTTTTCACAAAACTGATTGGTTGTGGTTTTATTGAAATGTCTTGCTTTATTGATTACCTTTTTTATTAAAATTCATCTTATAAATAGGTGTTGGAGTAAAGGAGGAATGCTCAATAACAGCAGTACATTCTAAAAATGGGCGTGTCTCTGGAGTTGAAACTACCCAAGGGCCCATTGAATGTCAATATTTTGTCAATTGTGCCGGTTTCTGGGCAAGGCAGGTATGATCACTGACTGTTTGAATTAAAGAAATATATTGCTTACAGTTACTAACCTAACTATTTGCAAAAATCTAAATCCCAATTATATCTAATATATAAAATTGGGATTTAGATTGGCTGCTGTGGGAGGCTGTGTTTGTAGTTAAACTCCTCCGAAACGGCTTGACCGATTCTCATGAAATTTTGTGTGCATATTGGGTATGTCTGAGAATCGGACAACATCTATTTTTCATCCCCCTAAATGTTAAGGGTAGTCCCCAATTTTTTTTGTTTTTAATTTTTCGATAATTTTTTTTATGATACAGAATTATAAAATACATACAAACCCTAATTTTCACCCCTCTACGATCAACCCCTATTTTTTATTATAAATGATATACATGGCAAAACGAATTTGCCAGGTCAGCTAGTATATAATATATTTTAGCTTGCAATTTGCTATGTTCATGTTCATTTAATTAAAATTGTATTTGGTTCTTTTCTGGTTGCAATCAAATACAACATTAACATTATAAGGTTACAATGCCTACAGCATTTAATTCACAGATGTACCTTTTTAAATAAGTATTTCTGCATTACCATATTGTCAATTTATTTGAATATGATTAAACATATCTTATATGTGTATTGATGTAAAATCTCAATATCTTACAGGTGGGACAGCTTGCAAAGCCTCAAGTAAAAGTTCCATTGTTGCCATGTGAACATTATTATTTGCATACAAAGCAAATTGGAAATCTCGACCCAATGACACCAGGTAGGCATATTCCTAAAATATTTAACTGTCTTTTTGATACTTTGTATATGTATGGTTATAATAAAGCTTTGATGAGCAGTTTTTTATTAAGTTTATTTATGATCTCTACTTATCTATAGTGCGCTCACTTAATATATTTGTGACTTTCTTCCTGAAACAAGTTGTAATTTTTTCTATAAAAAACATTGTGGTTTTCTTTTACCGTACGGCTTTAATTCGTAGTAGTAATTCCATTGGTACATAAGTGAAAACTGAACATACAACTTCTCATTTTTAATTAATTTGGTCAAGTAGTAGCAGTGGACAATAAAGATCTCAAATGCTCTCGAAACACACCGTTTTCTCAAATTATTTAATATTAATTATTTAATGTAATTGTATTTGTCAAATTAATTTTGTTAAAATTATCAGTGCTCCGTGATCCAGATGGCTATATATATTTGCGAGAACGAGACGGTTGTATTTTAGCTGGTGGCTTTGAACCAATAGCAAAGCCAGTTTATGAAGAAGAAAGTAAGTAGATCGCTCATTATTTGTTTAAAAACAATGACCTGTGCATTCTAAACCACTACGATTATAACTGCAAGGTAGCTTTTACCTTTCGTAAAAACATTATTAAGGTGAATGATATTTGTTTTTATATTTTCTATGTAATTCGATTGCATTTTGTTCTTCATTTCGCATTGGGCCTTAGTAAATACATATAAATCTTTGTAGTCGAAAATAGTACACAGCGGTGCTTACCCGAGGACTGGGATCACTTCCACGTGTTACTCCAGGAACTTTTAAAACGTGTGCCATCCTTGAATCAATCATTTCTACACAAACTCTGCAATGGCCTTGAGGCATTCTCACCAGATTGCAAATGGATTGTTGGTGAAGCACCTGAAGTGAGTATTTACCATTTTTCTGCCAATTCCATACAGCAATGACATTAATCTAAATGCTTTGTAATTCGGTCATGCGTTCGATTCCTGCTTAAAAGTAATGTAACACAATACGGAACTTTAAATATTTTATATTTTACATGCGTAACTAATGATAATACAGATGTATCTCATATACTATAAAAGGAATTTAAAATAAATAAACTTCTATTAATTATAAGAGCAGCATTAAAATGCCCAAGAAGCTTCTGAAGTTAGATCATTTTGAGCTTATGTAAGCAATTATTGGCGTTCGATTACCCCTATTGTCTTCTTAAATTTCTCACGTCATAAACGCAAAGTAAGCATTCTTGAAACTACAGTGCCAAAGTGCTTAGTAACGATCTTGGGAAATTGTTGTTGAATATAGTCCTACATGGACCATTTTAGTGTCAAAGAGCTTGCTTCAAGGATATGTCATGTCGCGTGAAAGCTTAAATTTATCATTCAATAACTTATATAATATCCACCGATTTTAATTCTATTATTGTTCCAAGGATTTTGTATACAGAAGATCATAAATGCTTGTGTGTTAATCTTATACTTGGTGTCGGGGAAATTTGTCGTATAAGGTTTATAAGTTTTTTCGGAATGTTGAATGACACGAACCCAGCTGTCTATTTATGCTAAATTCGTGTTATTCAACGTTTCGCAATGCTTATCTTCTGTCAGAAACATGATCAATGGTGACTGGTGAGTCATTTATATGCCATGCATGCGTAGTTATAAAAAAAAACTACTAGATCAATCGTCTTTGCGTAATTATATTGTTGCTTAAATTATTACTCTGATGTTTGATGCTTTCCTCAGTAAACTAAATTTGGGAATAGACGCTTTGAGTATTCATAGTAATAGTAGCTTATGTTTTTATTTAATACATGTTACGTTAATAAGATTGCTTGACAAATACATATGCATCTGCTAATCATACTTATAATTTTAAAAAATGGGGATTATTTTAACCAATAATTAATATAAACCAATTATTAGTAATTATCCGTATAGATTTTATTTTTATTGCGAATTGACGTATAATTATTGCCAGCAATTTGGCACGGATATTCTATTTTCTGCTCATGAATGTATGTCCTTACAGATTTTTAATTACCACGTGGCGGCTGGTATGAAGACTGTGGGTATATCAGCCGCTGGTGGTGTGGCCGAGGCCACGGTGGATGAAATTGTCGAAGGTTATACTAAGTATGACATGTACGAATTGGACATCAGCAGATTCCTTGGCTTACACAATAATAAGCGGTTCCTTAGAGATCGAGTTAAAGAAGCTCCTGGTGAGCAATTTTAAAATTTTTAATAATATTCCTCATACATATTTCTATAGTATTTTTAAATGAAAGTGAATGCGTTTCGTTTCTAACGAGGTAACTACAAGAGTAATCAGAATCATGAAATAATAGATGGTTTATAAGTCATTAGTTAAGTTAATAAGTACTTTGGAGTAAATTGTTTGACCTTTTTTTGCTTCGACAAGTCTCATATGCTGCTATATTCGAATAATTAGAAAGTATATATTAATATATTTTTATAGTATTTACTACGTATTGTAATGGTTGTAGTGAAGAGCATATTGATTAAATTTAATTTACGTTGGTTTTGATTATACATATTATATATATTTTTGTTTAGTGTGTTCAGCTGTCTCAAAGATATTTTAATTTTTTTATTAAGGTTTAATTATTTATTTTATTTTTTTATCTTGGGGAGAAATTACGGTTATTGTGCTTGAATTAGCTCGGTCTGTGCCGTGCCGATTTTTCACTTGTGGCTAGAAAAATACCTGAACCGACGCCTGAGAGCCATTTTGATAGGCTTTAGTGTGCTTTAAAACTTATAGGTATTCACTACGGGTTGCCATACCCCTTTCATGAGTTTGAAACCGGGCGAAACCTTCGACTTTCCCCGATTTACCCCACGCTAAGAGACAAAGGCGCTGTGTTTGGACAAGTTATGGGCTACGAACGACCGACTTGGTTCGAATCTGTGGGTAAGTTCTAGTTATCTTTAGGAGTGTTATTTTATCCTCATTATATAACAGTTTCATAATATATTTATATTCCGCCAATATTCATTTGAAATGGCCTAATATATGTACTTGTAATAACGTGTATTAGTATTCTGGTAAGTTCGGCAACAATGCCAGAGGCTCGTAAAAAATGTAAATCTAAATATATAATGAAAAGAAATCCATAATCAGCCTACCTTAGTACGATGTACTATAAATTTGGTTTGTGCATGTGTGCGTGAATGACAGTATGTGTGACTATTTACTTATTATTATTTTTTGTGATCATTCCTGTGTTTCGTTTGTTTTATTAAATAAGTCGTAATTTCTCTGCATTATCTATTAAAACCGAATTTATGTTATTTATAAAGTGCAAGAGTAGTGTTAGTCTAGTGGGTTCAGCGTGCAACTCTCGTCCCTGAGGTCGTAGGTTCGAACCTCGGCTGTGCACTAATAGACTATCGGTCTATGTGCGCACTCGCTCGTTCGGTGAAGAAAAACATCGAGGAAACCGGCATAACTAAGAGACAAAAAGTCGACGGTGTGTATATTATATTGAAAAAAACAAATTATCACTAAACAGATACACATATCTGAGGCTCAGACCATAAAAGGTCGTAGCGCCACTAATTGTACATATATATTTCTTTCGCAAAAAAACAGTTGAAATTTATTAAAATATTACAGAGAAAGAAGCGGATATGCCGCGTCCTTTCAAAATAGCCCACACAAAAACTTTTGGAAAACCGCATTGGTTTGAAACAGTACAAAGAGAGTATTGGGCCTGCAGGGAAGCAATAGGATTAGCGGATTATTCATCCTTCACAAAAATTGATATACAGGTAATGTTTACACATTTTGTATGAATATAGGTGAATGAGGGGCGAGGATCATGTAATAAATTAAATAAAGGGCAAACAACTAGACAGCAGTTCTGAAAGGAAATGTCAAATAACACTTATGTTGAAGAGAAGTTGCAAATCACACAATAAGTTTGATATGCGCGAGAGGCGTGTAAGATATAATAATAAATTAAATATAAGTACGAGTATGTACTTTAAAATGCTAAAAAAGAAAATGTCACGAGTTACCAAATTATATCAAGAAAACTTACACGGCACACAATAGCAAAGAAAAAATAATTCAATGTAAGTGAATATGGAAAAATAGTTTAAGAAACTCGATTAAAAAAAATAAACAGTTATTTAGACGCAAAACTAACTCACATAGCTGATTAACAATAAAAAAAAGGAATTAGGTTCATTTTAAGTGTGTAATGGGTGTGTGTATGCAGACGTATTCCACAGCGCTGGTCATTCTGCCAAAATAGTTAGACTAAACAATAAGTTAGGTTAAAATGACACTTCTTATCGCTTAGCAAGCCACTCCTTTGAGGTTTTTCATTATTATTTCATGTTTTTTTTTAAATAAATCATTGGGGGTAACTGCTTTTAATGCCGTGTTATTTGTGTATTGTTAACTAATCGTGAATACTATTTAAAAAAATTGTTTAAAATTGCTTAATTTATAGTCGCAGGGCAATGAAGTGGTTGATCTCCTACAATATTTATGTTCTAATGACGTAGACGTCCCGGTGGGTAGTATAATACATACAGGAATGCAAAATGAGCGAGGTGGATATGAAAACGATTGCAGTTTAGCGCGCATATCGGAAAATCAGTAAGTTTTCAACAAAAAAATCCGAAAAATATATTAACTTTAAAACTAAATTATTATGCTGATTTTAATCCACAAATCTTTAATATAAATGTCTTTGATCCAACCAAATTTAACATTATCAAGATGCAGAGTTCAGGGATGAGAACAGTCATGGTCTGGTTAAACCACTGTACCAATCCTACCGTGGTTGGATCAAACCTAGTGTTTTAACAATCAATCAAGTAACCACTGCATTAATGGACTTTTCTATGTGTCAATTTACACTTGCAAGGAAAATATTGTGAGGAAACCGGCATGCTTTGACCTAAAATTTGATAGCGGAAAAGATACAGAACTCTGAGTTTAAAACCAAGTGTTGTAACGCTACTGTTTTTTAATGTAACGTAGATAATCCAGCGTATTTGGTTTTTTGTGTATCCGATAGCCGACTTCACGAAAATTCTTGTTAAAATCGCCTTCATATTTTAGCTATATGATGATAGCACCAACAATACAACAAACTCGATGTAAAGTATGGATGAGACGACACCTACCAGTGAATGGTTCTGTCACATTGTCCGACGTCACTTCAATGTATACAGCTATATGTATTTTGGGGCCATTTACAAGGAACCTCCTTTCTGAACTGACGGATACCGACTTATCGCCAAGCAATTTCCCATTTTTCACGTTCAAAGAATTGGATGTCGGACTTGCGAATGGTGTACGAGCGATGAATTTAACGCACACTGGGGAACTCGGTTATGTACTTTATATACCAAATGAGGTAAGAAGTTTTATCTTTCTGTTTTTTTTTGTATTGAATGTATTGTTTTTCTCTCCCTAATTTTTAAGTAAGGAGTTGTAGTGTTGGTCCTAAGCAATAAAATTATAGCGCAAACTTATGATAGTTTTATAAAGTTTTTAATATATACAAAGTACGGTATACACATTTGGTGTCAAAAAATATAAGTTGTCCACGTTCAATACAGGTCCCATCTGTAGGTACATTTTATTTGAAGAACTTTTGCTGACTTTGACAATAGAATCGTGTTATAGCAATACAGTTTTGTACGGATAACATTTTTGAATAAACTTTTATTAATACTTCTATAACACATACAATATTAGATCTATAACATACATATACAATATTAGTCACGCACACATAAACCCCACACATAATAAACACACATCTATATTAGGAATATGGCATTTTTTGTTTATTTTTTAAGATTATTAAATAATTATTTGCACACATGTACAGAAAACCACTAATCGTAACAGCATACTTGAAAAACTATAAAAAGTCATAAGTTTACTAAATTGAGAACTCTTTATTGCAGTTTGCTCTGCATGTCTATAATCGACTAATATCACAAGGTGAAAAATACGGGATAACTCATGTAGGATACTATGCGGCACGATCCCTCCGTGTTGAGAAATTTTTTGCATTTTGGGGTCAAGATTTGGACACTATGACGACACCGCTTGAGTGCGGTCGCACTTGGAGGGTCAAGTTTGATGTATGTATAATAATAATAGAATTTAATTGGTTTTAGGATATACTTTGTTTATAGAAAAGGGGGCAAACGCAGGCTGGACCTAATGATAAGCGATATCGCTGCCCATGGGCACTCACATTGCCAGAAGGATACTACATTAGTAATTATAGAGAAGGATTCATTATTAAATAATAAAAACATTAGGTATATATTTTGTAATTTTATATTTTTAGTGCAGTCAAAATTAATTATACTACTAATAATAGTTGTACATAGGTAACGCAAATGTTACCTTTAAAATATTTACAATTTGATATGTGGATTAGATTTGTCCGTATTTGTTAATTTTATTCAATCTACGGAATACGTACATAAAAAAGCATTAAACTACACATATCGGCTTTGGCATAATATATAGCCACAAAAATCGAAAAAAGTAAATAAATATTATCGGGAAAAAACTATTGCGTCGTTTAGTTTGTCTTTATGTTTACGACGAAAATAAAATCATTTACAAAATATGTTTTTTGCTTTAACCTTATAAAAAATGAGTATTTGTTTGATTCATTTGTTGCTTACGCCGTTCTTAAGCCACAAACTTCTAAACTTTTTGAGTTAGGATTTTTTGTTAATTATGAATAGTTTAGTCTGGTGCACATTTCCTAATACAGTAAATACGTGTGTTTACACCGGTTTATGATGTGTCTGTTCTTTGCTGTTTCTTGCGAGTTTAGTCGGAGCATTCTATTCTATAGGCTGAACGATGAACCAAACGTTCACAAGCTTCTGTTTTATAATATTAGTGTAGATGACGTGACGCACTGCTGATGACTATATTAACCCTTATCACATATTTGTGGATTTGTTTATGGATATACTATTAATCAACAATAATCAGTCTGATGGGCTGATAAAAAAAAAAAAACATTAAGTGCCTATCTGATACCTAATCCGCTGTTTTCCTAGTAATTTAATTACTAGTGAAATCTAAAATTAGAAGTGTTATATTTTTATTTTTTGTAACACTTATGTTTACCATAATTGTCATATATTTTAGATATACCATTGTAAGTTATGTCGTCAACTTTAATAAATAAAATAAATATTTTCTTCTTATTTTATAGAAAGATATACCGTTTATTGGTCGTGAAGCATTGCTAAAACAACGGGAGATGGGCGTAACACGACAATACGTTCAACTTCTTTTAACTGACCATGAGCATGAACTAGATCTCTGGTCATGGGGTGGAGAACCGATATATAGAGATGGAAACTATTGCGGACAAACAACTACGACAAGTTATGGATTTACTTTTAAAAAACAGGTAAGAACGAGTAGGGTTGGCACCAATGGATTTTCTATGTGCTAATTAAACATCAATCATGCCGTGAAGGAAAACATCGTGAGAAAACCGGCCTTTGACCCAAAAAGTTGACACGTGTCAGGTACAGAAGGTTGATCGCCTACTTGCATATTAGAAAGAAAAACAAATTATCACAAAACATATACGTAAACCTCATCTGCTGATACTACTTTGTACACAAGAAAACAATACACATAAAAGTCGGTAATAAATCCATAACTTATCTAATATATAAAATTCTCGTGTCACAATGTTCGTTCCCATACTCCTCCGAAACGGCTCGACCGATTATTATGATTTCATGCATATTCAGTAAGTCTGATCGACTACTATCTATCTTTCAAACCCCTATGTGATTAGGGGTGTCCACCCCAAAATTATTTTTTTAATTTATTTATACAATTTTTTTTGTTTTTTATGATACAGCATTCACCTTTATTTATTTTTTGTATATTAAAAACTATTGATTTGAACTCTGAGGCTTATATATATATAGAGGAAAATTCACTGAACAACCTAAAAAAAAATTATTCCGGAAAACCAAACAGGGTCTGGGGTAGCATAGCAAAATGTTCCATGTTGGTATGTACAAAGTAAATCACATTAAGGAGAATCGAAGTTCGCGGGGGCCGCTAGTATTTTATAAAAAATCTTTAGCGATATCTTCCAGGCAACGAATTGTAGTATTTTCTGTTCAAATAAATTAAAACTATATATTTATCTTATTGGCTAATATTATCTGGTTAGGTAGGTTATTTGGAGATTAGATGTATATTTTTTTATACTTATTACTGACAATGACATGTTCTATAGGGTTGATATTTTTGTATGTACATATTATATACATTTTGGACCGATGGATAATTTAAATCTCTACTTGATAGAAAAAACTGATTCCCAGTTAATTTAGAATATTATCGTATTAATAATAAAAACAGACTCGTGTCTTTGAAAACTGATAAATTATATTGCGTATTTTATGAACATTTCGCGTACATTTTTATAAATGATTTTGTTTCTTACTCAATATCGATTGAACATTTATACTGATGTGAAAATCAGAAAACTCTTGAACGGACTTTCCTTTCGCCAAATAAATCGGTTGTGTTTTACAGGTGTGCCTCGGTTTCGTTCAAAACTTGGATAAGGACGGTATACCAAAGAAAGTTACCAATGACTACATATTAAGTGGACATTATGAAATAGACATTGCTGGCATAAGGTATATAGTTATTTTTTCTTGCAACAATTTAATATCTTACGCATTTAAGTTTCATAAAAATTTGTTGCAAATTTATAAATAAATATTATTTCGGTAAATAAAGTAACCATTGCTAATACATTTTAAGTCGAGATGCATTTTATTGTGAGCCAAAGGTATTGGTTATAAAATTTTCCGGTTTCACTGGCTTTCAAGGCAAAATTATTGCCTCCCATGAAGCAAGTCAACTACTTACTAAAAACTGTCGTATTTTGTCATAACAGGTACGCTGCAAAAGTAAATCTACATTCACCAAACCTACCTACGAAGTATCCAGACAAAGAGCGAGACGTTTATCAAGCCACGCGAAAATTACACGATCCGACCCAATTCCTTGGTAGACACTATCAGCCTTAATTTTTAAATATGTGCTTAGATCTTTATTAAATCTAAAATGAGTGTAATCTCTTTCATATATTTTAGATTTTTTTTATATAAACACTTTATAGTTAATTTTTAAGAAAATATTGTAATTTGTCATTTAACAAATCACTCGTTTAATTTAATTTAATTTTTTTTAGTTAAGACCCATTTTTGTTTGTTAAGATTTTAAATTGTCTTAGTTTTTATGTTAAAATAAAAGTTAATACACTATAAAAAAATATAATGTTAATTATGTATAAGAAAATCATTTGACATATGTAAAATAAATAATTAAAGTTTTGTATTTCTAGCTTTATTGTTTAGCCTTCCTACATTATCCCCAAAGAGCCTGCTAAAATAGTAAATCCATTAAAAAAATGTTTTAGATTGACAATAATTTATCACTAACGCAAAACTCAATTTTGACTTACACTAATTACATCTTATAAATTATATTTACATATATTTTGTTATGAGAGGTGGTGCTGCATGAAATTTTCTTTTGCCGCGCTGTTTCATAATGGGCAATATGAAAATGTACCATTCTCTTTTAGCCATTATCTATCAACATTACGCTATGCTGTGCATAATATTTAAACTGTCAATGTCTAAATCAACCTTATGTCAAAGTTTAAACAAAAATGAGACTTCAAAGCAAATGGCAAATAGTATAATAACATTCTTGCTGAGTGAATGTATAGTACATCTAATTAAATTGTATGCTTAGTGATATAAGATTTAAACTTCTTGTGGTTTGATTCATGCCCTCTTTGTCATTTGGTTAATAAATGTAAAAAATAATTATGTTTTCAATGAAACAGTTACTAATTCTAGTAATTCCAGTACTTGTCTTCTTTAGTCCAGTTTCTGTAAGTACAAATATCTAATTTTCTTTTATTTTCAACCTGGTAAAACGACAAGGCGTTAATTAATACTTTTGACTTATTTACAGGGGTCGTATGATGACAAACGATGCAAATGTGTTTGTCCACGGCCAGCAGCACTAAACAACACTATTGGGTCAGATCGTACCCTTTATATTGGAAATGTGCCACCCAACAAATGGTACATTCTCTCTTTGCTTCATGTGTAATTGATATTGTAAAGTAAAAGTAGAAGGTCTAGTTTACTATTATATCTTTCAGTAACTGTGATGGAATCATTCTTCCCCGTGTCGGAGAGTTGATTAAAGGTCGTGAACAAGAGTTCTGTCCACAGTGTGAATGTATTTATGAGAATAGAAACACAACAATAATTCAGGTCAGTTAAAATAAAAGCAATAAGTAAAATTAATTTAATAATTAAAAATATGATTTCAATTTGTAGGTTGTCGTAATTATAGTTGTATGGGTGATAATGTTACTTGTTGCATACATGGGATTCTTAATCTGTCTTGACCCTTTAATAAACAAGAGAGCAAAGGCTTCATACCAGGAACATACAAATGAAGATGTAAGTAAAAAAAATATTATACATACAAATTAATATAATTGAACATCATATTTTTCTAACTTTAAGTATTTAGAAAAAAACATATTTTTATGATTACTTTTTGACAGGATGAGGGTACACTTGGTGGGCCATCTCAACAGATGGGTGCTCGTGGCAATGTTCTCAACCGTGTCACCCATCAACAAGACAAATGGAAGCGGCAAGTTCGTGAACAGAGGCGTAATATATATGATAGACATACCATGTTGAATTAGATCTGTAGCAAATTCTACCATATATGTTACATTATGTACTACTTCATCTTTGTATCTATGACATTGCTGCTATCTAAAATAATCATATGTTTATTAATGGTGATAGACTAGACAGTTTAGACTAACTCTATTTCATGTTTTGAAATAAAGGCATTTCTTACTGCAATAAAAATATTATTTCAAACTACAGTTACTTTTAGCATTAGTTACAGTGTGTATTTGTTGTTAGAGGTTGACTTTATCTGAAAATTATGGCATGAATAGGACAATTATGTAGGCCTATTTCAAAATTTCCACTGTTAAAAAAGTATGGTTTAGGTCTCTACCTCCAATTATCTGATTTAGAAAAGGTCATTCATACTTACTCACTTGGGGGTAAAATATGGTGAGAGGATTTATATAGTAGGCCACATCAGACCATCACTTTTAAATATCAACAACTTATGATATATAACTGTATAAGCAAAGGAAAGGTGACATTAAAATGATACACACTATGAAAATAAGTCTTTATTTTATGAGTTGTTCCACTCATGGCAACTGTCCTGGTCAAAATGGAAGTTGACATGACACTATACATAAAAAGTTTTTTCTTAATTATTAAATTAAATGCTACAATTTTTATATTATATTTTTTTATTCAAACATAAATTAAATGAAAACTTTCAAATAGTAGGTATACATAAAGTAATATTCACAAATAGACTATGAATTATACATTAACACTTAAATATAGATATAAGATTATTGTCAGTTCTAATCTTAACAATAATTTAGATATTACAAAATACACATCAATATTAAAATAACAACAATACAATATCACAATGTCTATGAATGCCTTTTTCTAATCACTATCATCATGCATCAAAGGTCTCTGGGCCTGAAAAGGAATGATAATAAATTTCTCAGAAAATTAGATCTAGAAAATAAAATTTTACTCAATTTAACTAGAATCAAAAAAGCTAAAAAAATATTAATTATGATTTCTTAAGACCTAATTTCTTCATTTCCCATTGACTTCACTTGACGTGTCAGTTGGAAACATCTGCATTTGCATTAGTATATCTAAAAAAATTATTAGGAAAAGCTTATTGTTGAAATTTATTTTGTGACAATTGTATTACCTCAAGAATTAAAAATAAATTAATAATGAAAATTCTTTAACCACAATAATCAGAGATATCAATAAAAGTTTAGTCTCCACCTTTATTTTGTTTGTAGCACAATGATATGTTAAGGGCACTTATAATTTCAGCTGACCTGAAGTTTGCCTAGGAAGTTCACAGAATTCTTTAATGTTAGTATTATTCTATAAAATCAGCATGTATTATGTATAAATGGTCAATTTCAAGCATGGACAATTAGTGTCTTATTGTGAAATTAATATGCCTACAACCAATAGATGACATAGTTTGTAAAGATGAAGATCTTAGATTTCGAAATGTAAGTAGTAGGTTAAATTCTTACCTCATCATTGATTATATGTACAGAGAGCTTTCTATCAACAGCAAGAGGACCAAGTATTGACAGGAATATAAAATATGCAGACAGCAGCATTAAAACACACAAAATCATTATTACTACAACCTGAAATAAATAAAATCTATTATAGGCAATTTCCTTCAAATCTGTTTGGCAGATTAGGTTTTATAGACATATTGATATTATTATTCCAGTCAAAATTCAAGAGATATAGATTTTGTACAGTAAATTGTAATTACAATGGCTTCAATTGTGAAATGTACCTACTTCTGCTATAATATGTAGTTATGTAAATTTATTGTTAATATATGTTCCTACAACATTCTACACAATTATTTAAATAAAATGGTCACAAATCATACCATAATAATAGTTGTGTTTCTAGATTCGTAAGTACAATCACATCTAGGACAGAATATTTGAGCATTTTGTCTTATTTCATCAGTCACAAGAGGCAAAATAACAGCATCACAAGTACTGAAATAGGTTTTTTATTATAAAAATAGTTGTAATAGCATTCGCAGAGCTCTACATGATTATTTAAATATTTTAACATTTTATTAACAAAACCTCGTTAAACAAATAAGTATCCCAATACAGCGAGGAACTGTTGCCTGCATTAAAGGTACACTAAGACTGGGACCAAACTTTTTAAATTTGTTTTAATTTATTAATTATTACTAGGTAGGTTAAGAAAATTTTAAATACAGTATATATTTTTTATAAAAGATAAAATCCTTACCATTTATTGGGTGGTACAAATGCAATATATAGTTTTCTATCAGAACCTTTAACGGTCTTGTTTAAAAAAGTGGATTGACTAGGACAAACACAACGACATCTTTGGTCTTCATAAAATTGTGCCTGAAATTAAAAAGGAATCAAAACACAGCTTTTATGATAATGAAACCAAATTAATAATAATTGATAATATTATAATTCTTACCAAAATAGATGGAGAAAATCCGAAAAAAATGAACAAGACTAATTTAGTAAACATTCTATATTTGGGAAGCAACAATTTAATTTTATTTATTACTAAATACTAAGTTCCACACTCCACAGTCTAAACAATGTTTATATTTTAAGCTTCCTCGGTGTTCCACTTCCACAGATAACATTCACTTAGCGTATTTAAAAAATGTTCCTATGAACTGAACGTTACTAAAACGTTTCGTTTATTGAAAAAAAAACACCTTTGATTTCAATTTTAAAATTAAAAACCAAAAGAGCGGCAATGTGATTATGCTTATATATATATATTGCTTCCGGGCTTCGACTGCACCGCCACTGAATATATGATAACATTCCTCAGCCCTTTGCCCACAAATAAAACTTTCACAATTATTAAAACTTCTTAGGGTAGAACATCAGAAACATCGAAGAATTACAAATATACTTAGTACGATTTACTTTAAGTGGTGCTTAACTTGTTTCGCGGAGCCAAGGATTATAGAGTTTCTTATCTTTTTATTAATCAAAAACAAAATATAATTTATTAATGTAGACGTCTTAATGTAGGTACACTTATGAACGTCATAAAAAAATAAATGCTTCTAAATTTATATGCACTACCAGTTCTCAAATCAACGACGTAGAACGGATGAGAAGAATTGGCAATAAACTCTCCGTCAGTCCTTTAAAACCCTCAGGTTTATTAAGCTATTGCATAGATTTTATCGCGGGCTTTTAGCGCGGCGACCGAATCAAGAAATTCCGTAACGAAATAAACCTAACATACGATCACGTAATAAAGGTGCGGCCAATTCGCGTTAGAGTGGGACAGAACGCATACTGCGTCTCACATCGGTTTAGTGTGATCGGATAGGCGTGTTAGTCTGAGTCTGGTAGAGTGGTAGATTGAATTAATATCAAAGAAAAAATAATACTGCAAAAAATTTATAAATTATATTGCATAAATGCTATGCAATAGCTTCACCGCGGCAGTCCCCGAGTGCCACACGTATTAAGCTCCTGCAACCATTACATCATTACACCATTTTAAAGTAGTTATTAATTGTAATTAAATAAATAAACAAGAAAACCGAACAATTTACGAATCGTTTGTATCAGCAAGGCACGCTAAAATAGGAGAATGAGAATACATTTACATTACTGTGGGGACAACATTTTTAATTTTACATGATAAAATCCTTATCTTCTATATATGAATGGAAATAGGAACGTTAAGGTTCCATATACCGGTAAATTATAAATGATAAGGAGGTAACTGAAATATTAATGATGCATTCATGAAAGTACAATTGTGGCATCGTGAGTCAATACCAAGGGTACCTACCTAGAGTTCATTGCATCACCTTTAAAAAATGTTTTATCGTCGGGCTAAAGTTTTTTATTATTCTTTTAAACCTTTATACCTATACACAACCATATATTTGTTACCAACTTAAACTATTCATGTAACATAGCGCGGTGTGTAACAGCAAAAACGTTTACTACGCCTTGAATACCATACGTGTACGTACAAGAAAAAAATAATACACGAGATCAAGTGTGTATATAGGTGAGACTATCAAAGAAAAAATTACTACGAAATACATTCTATCATGCACATATGCCTTTGGCTTTTTATATGCGCACCAATTTTGATTTCGATCTATGGCGATACAACTGAACGTAATGGTAAGTACAACTGGTGTTAATTAATTTAAATTTGTTTGTTTTAAACTAAAATAGACTACATAGAATTTAATATATTTATACCGTTCCTACGCATGCGTTGCCTTGTGACCCATAAATTGGTGTCCTCGACAATTCAATGTGATATTATTCAATTGCTGTTATAAAAACGAAGCGGCGCGATATACTGCATACAATCAGATTAACACAGTAAAAATCTAAGGTACAGCAACCAATAGAACATAATGCGAATCGTTTCTTGAGACTGGAGACACTTACCTACTAGCAGTTTATTCAGCAAGTTTTTCGTAGAAAGGAAACTAATCATCTGATTTAAATTTTAGTCGGAATTTAACTAAGCACTGCTCAACAATTATCTTCAAACTTTCATGCTAGATTTTATTCTGATAGAATTCTTACTAAGAATACAAACTTTTATTATTGTTATATCTCAGTTATAGCTATATAATATTCGCGTATTTTTTAGATGATTACAAGTGTATACTGCCGGAGCTCACGCTAGACGACTTGAATTTAGATATGAAAAAATTTTTGGAAAATTTCGCAAAAGTTAAAGAGGTTTGTTGTTTTCAAAAATTATTTAATATATGAGTTTATAAATTGTTGACTATCCTGGTGTATACAATAATTTTGATCCAAAGTAATCAAGACACGATAATGTGACGGCCCTGATAACTGCCTGGCTTCATGTTGTGAAAACTGGAACTATAATATGACTAACAAACACACATCATTTTTAATGCACAGCCTTATTTTATCATTACCCAGATATATCTCGGGGCCCGGGAAGCCATATTCACTCCAAATATTTTCTCAATAATTTCAATTAACATAAGTTTTTCAAAATGAAAAGAGTGTAATTTATTTTTAGATAAAATTTCCAATATCGTTTGGACCTCTGCCGGAAAAATATATTTGTAAATTGAAATGTGTGGATGGGTATTGGGTGGGCCCTTTGTGTTCGAGTTCACCAGGTAATTATAATTATTAGTGTTTTCTAGAATTATAGAGTTGACAAATTCGGTGGATTTAATCGATTATTTAGACATTAATTTATCTTAAAAATGTTATTATATTATGTATTATATAGGCTCCACGGTATGGTAAGAGAGTTGGGCAAGTAATAATAATCAATTAATGATTACATATTATATTTACTCACACTTTGATCCCGTCACTGCAAAGTATTTCTACTCTACTATTGATGTTACAGCAAAATTATAATATATTTAAAAGGGATAAACTGTAGTCCTGAGATCGATCACGTACTAGTCTTATATATATATAATAATCAAAATAAACCGACTAATGTACCCCGTCTTAATGCAACTGAATCCGGAACTTTTATCATCACGAAATATAAGTCGTTAGTCGTAGCTAGGACCTCCAGAGATATTTACTTAAAAAATAATAACCTTTGTTCTAGATGGCAGATTTAAGACTCTCCTGAAAGAATGCACATACAATAATGATTTTCCTCTATTATCAGTTTCGTATAAAAATTCTTCTATTGAGGTACGTAAACTTATTAATTTAATTTCCTAAATTGCTATCTAAGAAAAATATTGTTCATCAAAACATTTTAAGTCATCATTACATATGATATGAAATAAGGTCATTTCCCGACGTGTTTACGCTCAGCCTTGCGATTCTGTAACTCACTTTTCGAACTCACACAGCGGTTTTCGCATCGGCGGTCGCTCTTAAATCAGCCTTGCGATTCTGTAACTCACTTTTCGAACTCACACAGCGGATTTCGCATCGGCGGTCGCTCTCAAATCAGTCGTGGAGCAGTCATTTTATGATTTGGCATCCTGATAAACAATAAACTACAAGCTCCCACCTTTTCAGAATGCCAAATCATAAAATGACTGCTTCACGACTGATTTGAGAGCGACCGCCGATGCGAAAACCGCTGTGTGAGTTCGAAAAGTGAGTTACAGAATCGCAGGGCAGTTGTGAAGCAGTCAATTTATGATTTGGCATTCTGATAAACAATAAACTACAAGCTCCCACTTTTTCAGATCTTTCTAACGCAAGGCAGTGTCACCAGGGTAGTAGCTAGAAGTATAGAAGTAACCCTATTAATGTTTATCTTTTTTAGAATGATACAAATTTTCCTCATAACACAACTATTACTGCAAGGTGCAAATACTTCGGTATGTATAAACTAAAAGGGGAGAACGAAATACGCTGTGAAAATGGCGAGTGGGATCCGAAGTTTCCTGAATGCGTACCAACCACAGTCATAACAAATTTCACAGGTGCCTAAATAACCTATTACTAGGCCTATGAGTCTGTATACCATAAACCATGCTATACTACATTTCAGGCGATGCTCCACCGACAGTGAGGTATGAGGTAGCAAGTGGTTCCGCTATTGTACAACCTACTGGTGAAGTCTTTGTTTACCCTGAGAGCACCATATGGCTTGATTGTATGTCACTGAGAACGGCTGGCGAACCAGAATGGACATGGACTCATAGTATGGAGAACTATAAAACAGGTATTTGTTTAATATATTTTCACCTCTGTAGCTCTGAAAAAATATTGTACCCGTATTAATCAAAAGCTGTGGAATAATATATACACACGTAGGTTTATTATCCAAAGTGTTTTGTTTTTTTCTGACAGATAGAACATGAAACTGTTTACAAAATTGTCGCAAAAAAAATGACAACGTCATCTGGATAAAATATATAATCACTGGATTCGATAATTCTAGAAATACTAGACTAGTAAGAACATATTTAAAAGTAGTGAATCAGTTGAGGAATTGATAGAAAAAAAGGATTTAAATAGTTTAAACCAAAGCAACATTTTATCCTACTTTGTTTAATGTCATAAACTAAAGTGATGATATGAAAATGTTCTCTACATTCATTATAAACGATTCTGATATGCCTAATAATGAAATACTATTCTAGGATGGGCCAATGAACTAGACAATATATTCCGTATTACTTTGCCTAAGCTTGGCGCTCGTTTTGCTGAAACATTTACCTGCGCTACACCAGCTGGAACAACAAACAAGATATCTATCAGAGTTGTTAGTGAGTCTTTGTGCATGATTGTTTTTTATAGCGAAGGGTTTTTAAGAACACTGGAACTCTTTAAAGTATAATATATTTTTAAGTTATAGAAACGTGGTTTTAGGAGGAATTAGATTTCGGTTTTGGAGAGAACAGCAACAAATATGTCTGATTAATGCCAAATCCGCTAAGTGTTCAGTTGTAAACTATGCTAGAGTTTTTATATTAATAGTTTCATAGATTTGGCATATATTTACAATTAATATTTTTTCTATAAACTTTTAGGTGTTAGTTGCAATCCTCTTGCAACATCGTCACCTCCATTGAGACTGTATACTACGGGTCATAAGCTAGGCAATACTGCTCATTTTAGTTGTGAACCTGGCTACCATCTCAGTGGATCGCCCCAACTCTATTGTATGGGAAACGGTAAGACTTACGAATTGAATTTTGTAAACCAAAATTGGCACGCAAATTCAATTTTGAAACAATGGCATCCAAAGAACATCACATGGCCTGGCCTGATATTAGGTGTTTTGAGAAATCACATATAAAAACTATTCTAAAAACGATTAAGTAAAAAATTATAAAATTACAATACCATTCGAATTGCGCGTGAAGAAATTGAAACATTTCCAATTTCTTTACGCTCAATTGGACTTTTATGGTTCCGACTTTCATTACTCTTACTTGTGACATTGGTGATAGTGTCTGATAGTATTTGACGTTAATCTTTTCAGGTCATTGGTCTTCTTTACCACCCACTTGTGAAGAGACTTTCTGTCCATTCTTCACGTCTCTCAATCCTCACTTAAGTATCATTGAACACAATTCTTCCTTCGGAGGAAGGGCTGTGTTCACTTGTTCCTGGGGATACCGACTCGTTGGAGCTCCAGGATTAGAATGTGAGAATGACGGCCAATGGTCCGGGGAAATGCCACAATGCATACGTAAGCTTAGCATTTTTCGTCTAGATATTCTGACTAATAGCTGGGTTCGTTTGTTTGTTGTGACTTGTGTTTAACGCGCCAATTTATATACTCTGTTAAACCAGTGAAGATTCTTGTTCGACTGCGAATTCGAATAACATACTTATTATGTTAGATAGTCATTCATTTGACAATGACCTAAATTATATGACAAAAATAATACTATATGTATATTTTCAGCGATATACTGCCCTGATCCTATCATACCGGAACATGGACAACTTTTGACGAAAACTACATCAAAAGACGGAAAATATCCCGTGGGTGACCTCTTAATCTATACCTGTGATACTGGTTATCAAGTTTTAGGAGAAGCCTCCATCGTGTGCACAGAGAATGGCTTTTGGTCACACCCACCGCCGTTTTGCGTACCGCCCGCGGAAATAAAAAATCCAGATACCATTTATATAGAAAATACCACTTTAGTTCACGTTGACAATGGCTATTGATATGAGTAAACGATATATAGGTACTATATGTAGTTTGTATAAAAATAGAGTATTGTTATGTATTGCACAAATTGGCATGCAGTAATCATACGGTAAGATCGTAAGTCGAGAGATACGATAGTCTGATTTCCATATTATATCAAATCCCTTTAGTTTCTGGCATATCATAACATATAATCGAGTAAATGTACCATTTGATCCAAAGTCGTCATTTTCATTCGATCATAGCATAAACACAATTTGTCAGAAAGAGACAAAAGAGTACTTGAGTTAAAAGAGTAAGTACAATTAGACCGATTCAGTTTTTATAAATAAGTGACAGTGACTAGCACTTTTTTTGTAATGCATAAATGTAAAATATTAAGATAGTAATGCAAGGCAATAATGGATAAAAAACTTCGACTTCATTTAAAGTTCGTATTTCAAAACTTTAAAAGTATTAGGTAATTAGTTTATAACTTGTTAATTATAATAAAATCTTAAATTGGTTGTTATCTTCATTTAATTGATTTCTGAGAATCATAAATGCGATATTTGTTAATAATTAATAGAAAGAGTTTTAATATTTAAAAATGTATACCTACGAATACACTTGTAATTTTACATAGACTACACAATGACAAATAAAAAATTACTGTTTAATTTTGGTGAATTTTTCTAAACGACACTCAGCGCAGCTTGAGACAAAATCACTTAGACAGGCATGACCGACTAACTCGAAACGAATTTGTATGATAATGACATTAGCTCACGCTTTGTCACATGACCATTTTCATACAAATTCCTTTTCTTTGGCGTAGTGCCGCAGGAAGACTAAATAATAAATTAATGATTCCTTTATGTACTTAAAAGGCCGGCAGCGCGCTTGCGAGCCTTCTGGCAGTGCGAGTGTCCATGGGCGGCGGTATCACTTAACATCAGGTGAGCCTCCTGCCCGAAAAAAAACACAATGCATGATATCAAAACTGATTAGATTAATTTAATTATCTTTGATCACACAAAGGTGACAGATACGCTAATACGTAATACGCAGAAGCCATTTTTTTTTTTTTTTTAATTTATTTATTAGCCGGATACAGAGTCCATTGGCAACGCAGAAGCCAACCACTTCATTGTTGCCATCTGTGCCTACCAACTCAGATTAATGAATGCTACGGAGATCAAACCCAGAATTCTATACCACGTCCAATAGTTTTAAACCACGGCCACGACAAAAATCGCTTACAAATTTAGAGTTTTCTTATCGAACACCTTAACTATGACCGTTCCAATTAGCGGCTTGTTATCAAATTTAAAGATTTTATTATTAGAACGAAACGTCTAAGAAACATGTTGCGATTTTATTTTATTTTTAATTTCATTTTAATTTTTTGTGTTATTTATGTTAAAACTCGTCAAGCATCCCTGGTAAAAATTGATCTTAATATGCGATATTAATTGACTTTAGGCTTCTTTGTCTAGAGGTAGCTAGCTAGGAAGTTGTTAATGCCTGTCTGCCGTACTGTACCTGCGTTGCGAGAGGTAACACTCCAGGCATGTAGAAGACTCATCGGGGTATTGGACTTATGAAATCGTTGGTGGCTTGTTTCTGCTCACACATTTGCACATTATACTATCTCATACTACCAGGCTCGCTGCTTCTGAATCGGTCTGACACACAACTTTCTTCACTAATTTATTTTTTTCTCCAATATAAAGCTAGCTAGATAGACGACTAGACAATCTACAACTACTATTTTCCATAACGCCACTATAATAACGGAAAAAATATTATTTTACTTTTCGCTACGACTGAATTAAACGCAGGTGACAGTGCAGAGCGTAGCTAGTTATTTATAAACATTCACAGTAAAATTAATAAAATTTTGTGCAGCATCCCGTTTTGGTAGCTCGTTCGTCATTAGACTGGATGCCGAGTCGCGTTAATTCTCTCTATTCTGATGTTGGAGCTTGGAGCGGTAAATTTGTAAGTTTACCTGATTATTAATACTTTTTGTTTGTGTATTAAATACACCCGTTAACTACATATAGGTGTAAACAAAGATCTTCTTTTTGCCTCAGTATTAAATCGACAATAAAATAGAAACAAATGTTTATGCCTATATAATAACAACACTATATAATAATATATTAACTAAACACTAACTAATGATATTTACAGCGTCCAGTCATGGATGAAATAGAATCTGATGAAGCGTTGCGGTTCTATCAATTCTTGAATTATTTAGATGGTGGTAGTTTTGGTACAGGTAAGCCATTCTCATTTATATAGATACCTACTCATAAGCGGATTTTAATCAACAAAACGCATGACATACATCTCGAATAGAACAAACGTGTTAACAATAATAAAAAAAACACGTACCTACACCATCGATAGGAGTGAATATTTATTTATTAATTGATATCCTTTCAATGTTGGTTTAAATTAATTATATTTCAAAATATAAGATAATCTCATAGTTACACCGAATGAGGTTAACATTGTAATAAATTTTCGTAAACAAATAAGGTTTATAATAAAATGTATATAATTTTAAGGGCCTATTGATGAATTTGTGGATGCCATGAACCGATTAGCTACCTACATGAAGCAGCAAAATAGTAGGGAAACCCAAGTTCGGGGTATGCGGGAGCTCGAAGCTATAAATGGAGAGAAAGGTACAACCTAATACTCCACTTTATAAATACCTAGCATAAAAAACGTCAGCGCCTATTATAATATAAGGATTCAAGGATTTGTTCTCAAGCCCCTGTAATCGTTGTTCGAGGTTGAGCACTTTCTGATTTACTATTCATAGATTAGTTTTTAGTTGAGTGTAAATTTATTGGTGTTGACTGTTGTCAGGTAACAGCATCAAAACCGTTTTGGAGATAAGCACGGTTATAATGCGTAAAAAGAGGAAGTTCTTTTGTACTGGTGAAGTGAAGGAGCCCATTGTGAACAATAAGATTATATGCAAGGATCGAATACTACTTCCGATCGCTGGTACATCTTGTAGAGATGCGATTATGTACTGGCACCCTGATTTAACGGAGGAGCATTATTGTGTTGGTGCCCTGGAGTCTAAAAGCCCCGTGCATATAATGGACATTGAAGGTAAAAATATTTATTATTTGAGTTTGGAGGCACGAACTGAACACTTAAGCGAACTTTTAAGTTAACATAAATCAAAATTAATTATTTGTTTCTAGGAGAGATGTTTTGCAAAGGTGACGACTATTCAAAGAGAGAGTATTTGCTGGCCTGTGATTTTTATGAAGATCAGGAATCTCCCGTTGCAGATTTACTACAGTATTATCCAGACCCGGACCCAGAAATTAGTCCTAAGCTATTTAGTTAAATAAATAATTCGTTTGTCCAGTTGCATTACATTAATAACTCTACATTGTTATTGTTAAATATTGATTTAGCGTGGTAATAAACCTCAATGGGTGAATACAACATTCAAATGAATCTTCCCTTGGAACTTAGAGTCTCGTTTTATTATACATGTTTAATTCATATCAACGAAATGAAAAAGACATCCCGAAACCGTAATGGAATACGGTTTTTGTAAAACCTATTATATGGGAATCAGTCATATGTTATATCCGACCTATTCTATTCTACTTCCGACATAAATCCAAAGTGTGAAGGACCTCCCCGGGGCGAATATTAGATACGCTCTTGACTAACTATGACTCCCGCATGCTAAAATCCACCAAATAAAAGAAATGCCTTACAGTGAATCAGAGTACCAGACTTCATAGCCAAAGATAATTTGGTGATGTGCACAAACGATGCTGTCATAATATTTATAGCTTTACTTAGGATGACAGGTGATGCTTGGCATACAATTTGGTTAAGGGCCTTAATTTCAGCTTTCGTTCCTAATACGGTACTTTTTATCAGTTATATTTATGTCACCGGAATATATACGATACAATATATACCTAAGAGCGCGGCCACACGATGCGGTAACGGTGGGGTGCGGCGCCGTCCGCAATTACTTCGAGCTATAGGGTGCCACACGAGCGTTGCGGTGTGGCAATATATTTTACCCCTCCCCGCCTCGTCTCGCAGGTCACAACTCCGGCGCGCTTGCGGTGCGACGCAACGCGTCGTGTGACATGGTATAGTAATTACTAATTTGTATGTAGGATGACGTTGCGGCACCGCTCGTGTGGCCGCGCTCTAATATGTTGAGGATGTCACATACTTGATACTATTTTTGTCGATCTGGACCCCTGAAACAATTCTTATTGTGAGATTCAGAAACGAGAATTAGTACGAACCTATCATTGGCGCGAACTATGCCTCCCAAGTCCCATATTATGTTAAAATCCAATTATATACGGGAATCATGTATACGTAGATTGTAACGCTCAGTCTCGTTTTTTAATCTTATCTGTAGTCCAGTTTCTGCTGCATGAAATTGTTGTTAGATAAAAATAAATAATATTTAAATTATATGTCAAATATTCTCTATGGCGGTGTGACCACTGACTGATGACGGATCATAATTTGAAACATTTGAAGTCGGTACCTACAAGATAAATGTGATGAATTTGTGATGAGTGTTCTTTTAATTATAAAGGTATTTTAAAATTTTCCTACCTACAATGTTTAAATTAAATGTGATTTCACATTTGTATACGCATCGTGCTCATTCGCTCATTATTGCTACCATTTTGACTGCCCAGGTGGCAAATTTGGCATGTCATATTGTTAGAATAATATGGTCCTTATTTCCTTTATCACTATTTGATCTATTTTGAACCAGAACTGATACTGACAATGCTTATGCTAATGCGCGCTTAGAATTGCTATATCTAGAAATAAACACAAAACATACTTTAGTCCTTGTTTGGTATCAAGTTACCTAAGTCTGCCAATTTTACAAATTAATTTACATTAACACATTTTATTTGTTCACAACTTTATATGTCATTCAATGTCTTATCTATGTCTATACTAAAATTCGTCAAAGTCTTTTGATCAGTATAAACATTATATCTTAAAACATAACCTACATTTGCATGAATTGAAATTTTAATTATATGTGGTGAAACTATTTGCTAGTTTAACTACATATAAATATTATCCTTTTATTCTTATCCTGAACATATAAATGCAAAATTTAGCAAGAGAGGATAAAATTTTAAATTGTTTTTGAAACATCTAGTACACAAAAATTTAATAAAACTTTTACACTTATTTTACAATTAACTTAAAACTTACTCTTACTTAAACAACTTAGTTCAAATTATGATCCTCTTGAGGACTGTTAAAATTTTAATATTTTAACAGTGCTAAAGAAGAAATAGTATTTTAAGAAACTTTTAAAAACACTATCCTTAGGATTAAAGTTGTTGCTTTGCTTTACCTTCTTATATTCTAACTTTTTTAACACAAATTCCAAGCTAAGTTTTACCTTACATCCCTTTCAATATGTATTAGTTAAATAGGAACTAAATAGTCTTAGTTTGCTTAAATATATAATATACCTTATAATCAGAATCTGTTTAGCAAACCATATAGTTGCTATCACTATGTATTAATTAGCTTAATAAATATGAAAACAATTCATAAACAAATTAGGTAAAACTGCACTACTCTTTTTAAAGTAAATCATAAAATAAACTTCTATTTACAGAATGCCCATCCAGGCGCCACATTGGACGGACTACCTCAATTGTCCAGTGTGTTTCAGAGAATATGGCCTATCACCACGTAGCCCAGTTAGTCTTGGCTGTGGCCACACACTATGCGAACATTGTCTTAAACAGCTAAATAGAAAACATTGTCCATTTGATCAGGTAATTAATACACTTTCTTTTTTCTTTATACACTAATTATTTTAACTTATTGCTTAAAATTAATTAGTGCAATAATTTACTGGTTATTGATTTCTTGATTAATGGTCCCTATGATCCATATGTGGAACAAAGAACACCCAGAGTATTACAAAGCCTGAATAGTATTGGACCGCTCTCTTCATTTTGAGGTGCATAAAATAGTAAGCATTTAAATGCAATCAATGTAAATTTGGCCTTAAAAGGTAACAATGAGTTGACCTGTACTCTAGAAGACAAGGTCATACTGTAGAGCTCTAATAGGTACCCAGAAATGATGAGTGTTTATAGCTATATCTTATTTATAAATTCATGCAATTGTTGCATCATAATTATTGTTTTTTAATGTTTTGTAGTCCCAAATATTATTTTATGGAGTATAGAGCGAAATAACAGTCAAAATAATACAGATGATTATAATATGTGTATTGACTATGACTTTATAAATAATAATAACATATAATTTAAAGTTCTAATTTCCAGAAGTTAAATCTTAGTATTATTATTTATTTATGACATTATAAAAATAATTCCCATTATATGTTACTTATTAGAATTAAATAAAATAATTTAACACACATTTTTTTATGTTACACTCAATCTATTACAATATTGTTAAATTTACATACCAATAATATAGTTTGCATATTGCAGATTGCAATGTTTATTAAATAGATACATAGTATAAAATTGTAGAGGTAATATTGGTTGGTACCTCCCAAAATAAAAGCATTTTGACATTATATTTTCCAAAATTTTTTACTCAAAACCTTTTAATAAACAATAGACCAAACACTGGTAGAGTCACTGAGACAAACTTTGGATTAATTAGACCATTGTTATCTTTTCAGACTGTAATTCAGAGCGACCCTGAGGAATTGCCTGTGAACACGGCATTATTACAGTTGGCTGGATATCCACCACCCCCCAAGCCCAATCATCCACCATGCATACAAGCTTTACCTGAGACTGATCGCCAAGCGTATGATATCATTGTCACTTGCCTTGAACAACTTGCAGTGTACCTAAAAATTTGTGGTAATTTGTCTTACTGAATTTATACAGTATTAAGGAAAATAAATGAGTGCAATATGCTCTGTATATTCATTTCATTTTGTTTTAATCCATCATTAAATTACTACACATACACACTACACAGATGATAGTTTAATACTTAAGTAGTTACACCCAATTTTTTTTATTTTCACCCTTTTTTTTTATTAAAAAAGTTATGATGACGATGAATAAACAACGAAAGCCAGAGACACCGGAAAACGGGTTTCTATTATTTACTACCACTTGTAGGTTCTCAATTTAAAATTTACGTAAGTTTATTTAGTAGACATATACTTACTTACATTTAAAAAACATATTTCAGCTAACAATACGGCAGGCAATCGCCTTTCGCGGCCTATGCAAAGAAAGTTGGTGACCTTACTCCAGTGTGCTATTACTGATGAAGAAGGGCGTGGAAGGGCAGCGCGGGCTGCACGTTCGCTTGGTGAAAGATCTGTTACAGAACTTATACTGCAACATCAGGTAATCATTATAATTAATTAGCTTCTTGATCACTTCTATTTTGTTTAATTTGTCAGGCAAATAGTCAAACTGTAGTTAATAATTTTTGGGTTTAAGACAACGTTTTCTTACGATGTTTTCTTTCATCATACAAGGACGGGCCTGCACGACCTCAGGATTAAGATACTGTGCCAACACGGCTCACTCAGCAGGTTTAACTTCGAACATATAGCAGAAAGAAAAAAATAGGCCCGTGACTGTATTAAACATTAACAAATCAGAGAAACTGCCTCCAGATGTTAGCGCTGAGTCAAATCCAAAATGTGTTTCACATAAGTCTACCGCTTAGTGTCGACTCTAATTCTTACCTTTAAAAACATCTAAATATATAAAAAATAGTATTTTGGTTCATGTTTGTCTACAAGGTGATGTCAGTGACAATATAAAAGAGGAATGAAAAGGTATTTCTATGTTCCTGTACAAAATCTGTTTAATAATTTAAAATGTTATTTCCAGAATCCTCAGCAGCTGAGTGCTAATTTATGGGCTGCAGTACGAGCGAGAGGATGTCAATTCTTAGGACCGGCAATGCAAGAGGAAGTGTTGAAGTTGGTTTTATTAGCCCTCGAAGATGGATCGCCATTATCTCGAAAAGTGAGTCTTTTAATATTATTTCCACAAAAATCCCGACAAATATTAAATAATTAACCAGAAACCGCTTCTGTGGCTTAGTGTATAGCAGAGTGCATCGGCATCGGGTTTGAGTCCTGGTAAAACAATTTTATTTTGTCACATATATATTTTACCTTATGTAATCAAATTTAAAACAGATAAACTTACCCTGTTAAATATACTGTGGAAACTCAAAAGGAGAGGAGTCAAGTTTATTTTTATTATTTTCTTATTTATTGTTACTGTTAAATTCAAATTATTTTTCAGGTTCTTGTTATGTTCGTTGTTCAAAGACTTGAGAGAGACTTCCCCCAAGCGTCAAAAACGAGTATAGGCCATGTGGTTCAACTTTTATATAGAGCATCGTGTTTTAAGGTATATAATTGGGGATATGGATAAGGTATCTTGCTGTATGACCTGGTATTTTAGAATTATAATGTAAAAATCTCTATTTCCATACAAATATGTGTCTAGGGCGTGCTGTGAGAATATTTCTTGAACACGAATTGTTTAATTGTAATATAATGATTTAATCCTTTGTAAATCATATATAGAGTTGTTGTATCACAGGTTTATATAAACACATTGAAACAATATTATTATTAAATGCAAAAAAAATGTAGCACAGTTAATACTGTGTACAATATGTATGTAATAATAATTTCTTCAATATAAGTTTTTGTGAATAGGCGGCATTTTTAATATTTTCTTACAATTTTGGCTAATATGGCCTATATTAACTAGAAAACATATAACTGCCTGTACATAGATGTGCTTAAAGTCTTCAATAGTGCTAGTTTTTTTTTTCCTCTATGGCTCTGACACGGTTTGTGCATTAGCCAGCGTCAAGTATAAAATAGTTCTAGTTTAAACTCACATTTCTAAAAACATCACAGGCTAATCATGAAACATGAAAAATGTTTTTAAAAATATTTAACCCAATATTCAATACTGATACAAAAACACCGTTCAAAGTAATTTACAATTTAGTATCATTAGTTATTAGATTTTTTTATTTTCTTTTATCCATATGTTTACCAAAAAAAAATATCATTTTCGTTTAGGATATCGATGTTTATAATGAATACTTAACAGGTCTCGAAACGAGAGTGCGATTCTTCATTGATGCAACTAAAAGAGGAATTTCGGACTTACGAAACGTTGCGTAGAGAACACGACGCGCAAATTGTACAAATAGCTACTGAAGCGGGCCTAAGGTATAAATCAATTAAAATTTAGTAAATCAAAAACATATCGAGATCTTTCAACCACTACAGCTGTAAATTAAAAACGCTTAACTTAATATATAAAAAGACGAGGATATATTCCTTTTCCTAATAGAAATCGCGATAGTATTGGAGAATATATCGTATGTAACTAAGAGTATAAAGCTTAGTTATTGAGCATTAGAAATAATGAACTCAGTGTGACTGTACACAGGGAATCAGTTTCTCAAAATACATGAAAGTCAATGGCTCCGGTGAATTGTATATAGTAATCTCTTAATAAACTATGTCTATGTCTATAAGCATCCTTTTTCATGATATAGAGTAACTAATTGCTTTTCCCGCTTATTTCGGTGGTAGAGTTCCTTTTTGGTAAATACCAATACCGGCGGAAATAAGCGCTTAAAACCAACCGCTTCAGCTTTAGAGTCTGTGAAAAGAGAATCGGTGTGGTCGATATCCGAATTAACATACAATCAAAATCTTTGACATCGAAGGGCCTACTCATGTTTGGTTGTAAAAACCGACAGTCATAACAGCCAATGACATTTTTATTAAAAACCTAATACAATAGAACTCAGCCGGGAACTTTGATTTTGGTCAATAGTTATACTGGTTACAGTATATTGTTCTAAACCTTTATTTTTTGTATATGTAATACCTTTTAGCTTTTTAATATCAAGCACAGTTAAACTTTAGTAGGGTAACAATATAAAATAGGTAATTTAGCACCGCTGCAACCTCAAATCCCACAACCGTTCTCTTTCCACACAGACTCTACAATATTGGTATAGATTAACATGTATCTGTTAATATAGGATCGCGCCAGACCAGTGGAGTGCCTTATTATATGGTGATACATCTCACAAGTCCCACATGCAAAGCATAATTGACAAGTTGCAAACGCCCCAGTCCTTTGCACAATCTGTGCAGGAATTATTCATCGCTCTCCAAAGATCCGGAGACCCAAGCCAATCGGTCGTCATGAGCTTACCTCTTGATAGACTTGCCAATATTGACCCTAGTCTAGGTAGGTATTAGGTTAGTGCCTTTTTGTTTTAAACCTAACATGCAGGCTGGGAATACAAACCTTGATTGAACCTCTAAGCTACAGAGGCGGTCTATTCATAGAGCAGATTACTTGTGTTTGTGGTAATTTTGCTATGATACTGACTCTAATTATCAACTGTTTTCTAGGAATTGAATATAACAAGTAAAGAGATAATAATTTTAAGCAAATGTACAATATGTTTTGGTCAAGTGTACCCTAACATTTATACATACATAATTCAAATTAATACCCAGCAGCGGTCAAAAATTTTACTGCACAAACATAGTGTATTCAATCATTGTTTATAGACAGCCAAGCCTTTTAATTAAAATATAATTTTAATTTGTAACAAATATTCTTATCCAATAAACAAAAAATATAAAAGAGCCTAAGCGATAAATAAATGTATACTGTTTTATATAGATGCAAATTGTCCATCTTGGCAAGCGTTAGGAGATATTTTGACTGCTGTAAAAGATGTTGTCTCAGGACTTGTTAGCTATTTGCAACAACAGTCTACGGGGAGAGATGCCAATCACAACCAAAAACACCTTATTCAAGAAAAGCCTGATATCCATACAAGTAAGTGGACTCTAAAATTTCAAATATATATTATAGTAGTAGTAGAAATTTATCTAGTCTAGTTAATAGAATTAAAGATGTAATCCTGGAGCGTTTTATTTGTTGTCAGTAGAATATTAATCAAAGCTAATACGCCAATTTCATTGCTGTAAAAAATGTGTTTTACCAACTAATCCTCAAGTCCATATTACATGTTAATTGCTCAAAAGTTGTGCACGTAGGGCGGTCTCTGCCTAGTGGCTTCAGCGTGCGACTCCTTAAGGCTCGTTTCTTTTTAGTTTTCACTGAATTCGCTGAGCAATATTAAGTTAAAAATGATAATTATATATAAAACACTAAGGCTGCGCTTCATTCATCACTGCATTCTAAAAAATATATTCAAACAAAGTATTATTTAAGCTGAGCGTATTTGCATAATATGAGCGATTGTCTCGGTTTGACAAATGCGAATGTGCTGGTGCGATAAACTGCTGCATGTGTTGTTTTTTCAAAGCTTTTACCTGAAATAATATTCAAATGAAAAAAGTTTTACCTTGATTACACTTGTATGAAAAAAGATTTTTTTTAATCTTGAAATTTGTTGTTTTAATTCCGCTTGGCGATCACAAAATGATATTATTTACTAATGCACTAACTGCTCGCTCCGAACTCGAACCTGAAATACACTGAGTGTTAAATCGCTTATGAGAAAGATGAAACTCGTGGTAAATTACGTTCGAGTTTAATTGCTGAAACGAGGTTCGTTAAATAGTTTACATGATTCTCGTGTAAATACAGACACCAATATTACAAATAAATTTAATCTTGTTAAAAAGTCCTCCTTACCTAAGGTTTATCAATACTTACATAATACGTCATTTGCTTATAAGGAATAAAATAAAATTCGCCCGGGCCGGATGCAAGTTAGGTCAAGCTATAAATAACTTTATTGATTAATTATTAGCTACCAACATTATACAAAACGCCGGAAGTATACACATCTAAAGTATATAGCATGTATATACGAGTGGAAATAAATCAATAGAAGATATACGGACTTTAATTATTCGAAACTAGCGCCACCTGTAAGCTTTTATGCAGTTTTACTTCCGTCCTTTAAAACGACTCTGCCATGCAAAACTAACCCTTAGCGTCCTTATCAAACGATTCTGCTCTTTGAAATTGCAGGCATTGTAAACCTGCCGATATTTACGTATATTAAAATTGAAAGTTTTAACCGTTTGTACATCATACTAAATTTAACGAAAACTTTGTATTCTCGAAGTTAAACATAGAAATTTATAAAACATCAGATCTCTAAAATACATTCATTAATTATAATTTTATTAAAACTTGTGGAAAATATTTATATATAAAATACCTATAGGTGTACATTAAGGTACTTTGAATTAATGGCGGCACACTAAACAATATTATTTGACATATTATACGAAATCAGTCAGATTCAGTGTAAACTCGTTATAATAAACTGTCTATAACGTAAAAACTTTTTGGTTTAACATAAAACCCATACATTAATTCACTCTTTATAACGCAGACATATTTTTATGTTTAGACATCAACGACATACTTAAGTGTAATTCTTCTTATAATCAGCTTACAAAACTAACCTTTTGAGGTGCCGAAATTTCTAAGACACCTGAGGTCATAAACATCTCGCCTTTGTTATTGTTAATTGCATTAACACGTGTGCCATTATTCTTAGATTACATAGCCTGTAGGAAATTTTGGTCTCAGTTACTAAACGCACCACCGTCAGCTATCGTGTATTATCAGTCGTAAACAAACTTTAAAACTGTCATGATGGCCAGTAAAAGAAAAGCGTTATGTATTATATGTATTTAGAATAATTTACCTATTGATAGTAGGTAATAAAATTAGAAATTATTGTAATTGGTTAAATTTGTTTTGTTTTCTCTTCCATCCCTATGAAAAAAAATGCTCGATCCCTTGAAATTCGTTATAAAGAGTTTACACTGTATACATTAAATTATAAAATGTCATAGATATTGCCGCGAGTTTTGCCTAGTGCATAGTTTTCAATCATGCGTTCTGCATCCCAAGGATGCGGCTGCGTAACTAACGGCCATTGGCGCGAATCCGGCTGACCTGTAAACAGCCTGTTGCTATCTGTTAGTAATTTATTCGCGGATAATTACTCCACGGCCTCAAGATGCGGCGATATCAGCCCTCACGTCTCGGTAATATGTTTGCATTATTTGTTATTGATAGTATCGTCGAAGAAGTTAGGTGCTTATAGGTATGTATGTGGTGGCTTTGGCTTTGGGGTAAACAAAAACAAACGGTGGAGCTGTCGGTTTTCTTATCAACAGGTAGAACATGAGCCGTAAGTCTATGGAATAATGGAAGTTTTTAATTTTTATATTATTTATCTGAACCTATGTCGGTCAATCGATATATACATTAGTGGCCTGATTCTTTTTTGTTGACCTATATAAATTATATAGTTTAATTTGTTTATTTTAAATCGTTTTAGTGTTGTGTAGATAATTTAAAATTAATCATTATCATAATAATGATTTATTCGATTGGCCATATTTATAAATATATAGAAAGTATATAGTTCTATATCGGTTTTTTTATTTTACAAAACGAGTTATAGGTATAAAAAAAATTGTCAGACGTCAATAAGTTACACAAAGGTGGGTGTCATTGAAGGTCTAATTAGTTAGCTTCGGCCCGGGTCGCACGTCTGCGCAGTTCGAGCATCGGTACATTCGTTTCGTATGACGCAGTAAAAACTTAAAATAAGTAAATATTGAAGCAGAGTTCTTTAAAAATTTAAATAGTATTTTCATTTGTTTTAATATTTCTTTAGTAAGATATATCATATAATTATTATAAATCGATATAAAGGTCAAAAATCATTTATTCATGTAGGTAACACAATGTACACTTATGAACGTCAAAAAAAGGAACGTTATCGTCGAAGCGCAAGTTTCGCGCGGATCAATAATGTTGCATGTTTACGTTAATTTGAGAGAGGAAGAACTTCCTTCCTGCCAGCCGATCCAATAAAAAAAAACTTATAATTAATAAGATTATTATGTAACATAAAAACAGACTCATTTAAAAATCGCATGTTCGCATTTGAAGTTCGCGCTTTAATCCTTGGGAACTTTGGTATTGATTGATTGTGCGCAGAAGGATTCTTTGATTTGTGGTAGTATAATAATAATTTTGAGAGAAATAATGTGTGAGTTAGTTTAAAACAATTTAAATAAGACGTATTTTTTTGGAAAAAATGATAAGTGCTTTAAAGTGAACTAAAAATAGCCGAAAAATAAGTGTGTAAAATATACGAAGAAAAAAAATACATAGATGAGTGATGCCTTGAACATTACCAATTAATAGTGAAAATTTAAAGTGAGCAATGTTATTAAAATGTGGCTAGAACTTTAAACGAACTTTAACATCTCCCTTGCTAAAAGTTTCTTTCACGATGATGTTAATATGGTGCGCATACATGTAATAAACATTTATATATAATAGGCCTAATAGTTGGCCTAGTTAAGTGAACTACTCTCAACCATTGAGACCGTGGGTTTAAACCCCGGCACCAGTGATTTTCTCTGCACAATAACATTTGTCATTTGTGGTAACCACGTGAGGAGGCAGGCATGTCTTCGTCCCAAACACCGACGACGAGTGAGTATAAAGGGCATGCATATGTATAAAAACCTGATTAAAATATGTATTCTGAAGAAAAATCCATGAAAGATTGTGGCGCCACTGGTTCAAATAAATAATAAACGCATTTTATTCCAAATCTGGTCGGGGCCAGTTCAGAACAAATTACAACGAACGAGCGACAGTCTAAATATTTTCAGTGTTTAAATAATACAAGTCATATGAAGACTACTACTTGATATATATATAGATAAGCGACTATGTATGTATTTATATTTTTTAAATTTATACTGATAAGCGTCATCTAGGTGTCAACTAACGAAGTCATTTGTTGGTGTCGCACATTGTGAGTGTTGTCGGAACGTATTCTTAAAAATGGATAAAAATTAGGTTCGCGCGGTAAATATCATCTCTGCTTGAACATTTTTACTACGGCGCTGGTAAATCAGGCAGAGCAATTCTACGCTTGCGCTTTGGACTTTGGAGTGCTTAGTGCACGTCTTGCACGGGTCGCCTTACGTCGGTAGTGACTGAACAAATTATTAACAAACTTGAAAACATTGTTTTGGCGGCTCGTCATGTGTTATTGTTTGTTTTATAGTAGAAGTGAAAAAGTTTTATATGAAGTGTCTACATTATACACAACCATTTGTTTATGACAAAAAGTGCTTTTTGATTGACTTGGTAGAGAACGTCATCTCCAACTCTGAAGAAAATAAAGGCGATTCCATCCGCAGGGGTGGCAATGATAGAATATCTTAATCATGGAGCCAATACTACAGGGACTTGGTACGCAGGAAAAATAACAAACTTGCGCGAGGAAATACGCAAGAAGCGGCGTGGAAAACTCGCCAAAAATTTCTACAGCGGTTAAAGGAACATTTCAGGAGCCATCAATTAAAAGATGATGACGCACGCACCACGGTAGCCGCCCGATTCTTAAGAGACCAGGAAGATTAAAAAAAAGTAAGTTTAGCTTTAAAAAAAACATAAACGTATATGTTTTTTTAAGGTATAAATCTGAAATACGACTGTCGCAAAATAAAATGTCATTTAATAAAGATAATTGCGTCATACTAATTCTATTCAACTGCCAACTCTTTTTATTTAACTGTCCTAGTATATCTTCCTCACCAACCTGACTTAAGTGTTTATTACATTCAATGAAATTGCGTGATGGTGTGCGTTAAATGTGACCTTAAAATATTTTTTTTTAATTCATAATAAATTTAAAAAAAAACATTAATATTCCGGAACAACGACAAGTATAAATATTATCTTGCTCGTAACGTTTTGTGTAATAAGTGTACATCTAGATTAATCTTTGACTCAAGCCACCATAAGTAAGAAATGATAATAATAATAAACGTCAAGTGATAGGTTTTGAAGATGCTTGTAAAAATACTTTACTTCGATACAGGAATTATTTTCGTAATAATAAAGACTGCGATTGAAATAATAAAGTACATATACGATCGGCTCATTGTTTCTCGTTATTTATAAATCTAATATATAAAATGCTCGTGTCACAATGTTCGTTCCCATACTCCTCCGAAACGGCTCAACCAATTCTTAGGAATTTTTTATGCATATTCAGTAAAACTGAGAAGCGGCAACTATCTTTCAAACCCCTAAGTGATAAGGGGTGTCCACACAAAAAAAAATTTTTAGAAAACATTTTTTGTTTTTATTTTGCTATGATACAGCATACAAAAATACAGACAACCCCTATTTTTAACTCCTCTACGATCAACCCCTATTTTATTATTATTGTAGATAGTTATATTTATTGAACTATAAAAGTTTCTTAGAAATAATATACATGGCAAAACAAACGATTGCCGGGTCAGTAGTCCATTGAAATGTTACAATTTGAGGGCCAAACTGAACATTTGTTAGAGGACGCAATTTTATTTATGGAATATGTAGGGGGGGTCAATACAAGCTTAAACCCAAGTTTGTGGGGTTGGCACCCTTGTCTCCCGACCGCCATCTTGGAAAAAGGGCTGAAAAACGTTTTTGACTATATCTCCTAAACAATCCATCGCACAAAAAATTTGTGAAGACATATTTTGTAGCAAATCGCTTTGCCTACAATTATGTCTGTGTGACTTTTTATCATTAATCCAAAATTCAAAAGTTATAAGTAAAAAAGTGAAAAAATTTCCTTCTTTGCTTAATAACTTTTTTTCTTTTGATTTTATCAAAACATTATGACAGAACAATTTTGTAGATATCTTTTTGAAGATTTTTCTCTATATTTTTTTTTTAATTTCGTTAATTGGAAACGCTGTTACAGCGTTCCAAAGTTGACCGGGTTTGACAATGCTCATGACAAGCCGGTCAAAACAACATTTTTACTTTAATTTTATGATCTCTCGAAAAGAGAACAGATTATTGAAATTTTTTGTTGAATTCCAACAATTTTACTTGTTTATACTCTTTTCCCCGCCACCTTTGAGGTAGTAGTAGGAGTTTGTAGGCGCGTTTTTTTATGTGGCATCCCCAGTGGGCCTATTCCACAAACAACTTGCTGATGAGGTAATCTTCGACATAATTATATTATCAATCAGTTATTAGAATAGGGTAGCTAGCTATCCCATTTTATTCTTCTTCGATGGTTCAGGTTGTGGCTCAGATCCTAATTCACTTATACAAATTAAATTTTCAAATTTAAAAATCCATCTTTGATGTCTTTTAAGTCGATGAAAAGAAAGAACATAAGAGTCTCGCTGGATTTTTAAACTAAATAAGCATTTCGAGATTTATTGTCAAGATCAAAAATTTCGCATTTTAATTCACAATAAAAACAAACAAAATAACTTTTTGTTATTTTCATTGTAATAGTTGATAATGTTCATTTCCAACAGATGGTGCTGACTTACATACGAGATATTTTTTAGGTTAATTTCTTAATATCGATTTTGCTAATTATTGTTTGATAGATAAAAATAAATAGAGACGCGCCACGGCCCAAGATGACACTATCGTACTCTTGTATACAGGGTGGTCAAAGAGTCGTCGATCAAACGCAAATAGGGGATGGATGAGGTCATCAGCTGCAAAAATTGTTCTACGGGAGGTCTCTAAGCTCAACCCCTGCAGAGCTATAATTTATTTTGCGTTTTTATAAGAAAATTGTCTTTTTTTACTAATTCTTATTAAAATTCGAAACCATTGAGAAATAATTGTATTAAAACAATGTTTGTAATTCTTCCTAGAAAGATATTAGAGCGACTCATGGGCATGTGTAATACCTTTTTGGAATCCCTAAGCGCCAAAACTTGTAATACAGGGTCACTTTTCGATAGAGTAATTTTTTTTCACAGTGGGGTCCGAAGTAAACAAAAAGTTATGATTTGAAAAAAAATTATATCGTATAACTTAAGGCTATGTTCACATGTAACGCGCGTTAACGCGCGTCAACGCGCGATCAAAATTGAAGAGCGTTCAGATGATGAGCGCTAACGCGCGTTGCGAGAGTGCTCGTCAGTCTAGTTCGGTAGAACGTAGAAAATGGACGTGGAAGAGGCTATTATTTTGTGGTTATATTATAAAGAAATTTATAGAAAAAGAAAACGTACACATTGGGTTCATCCAATTTTGAAAAAAAATACAAATTATATTATATTTTTTATACAAATTTGCTATATTCCAACTTGCTGACCTTTTTTCTACTTCATCGATTAGTAAGTCGATGTCAGTATCTTCAATTTCACTCATTTTAAATGCGAGAACAAAATATAATTACGAAAATTAACAAAATTACATGCGATCGCGATGAAAGCGCGCGCTCATCTGAACAGCAAACGGACATTACATTAATATCAAAGCGCGCGTCAACGCGCGATCACCTGCGTCTAGAGACTTTTTCTCTGAGCGCCGCGTTGACGCGCGTTAACGCGCGTACATGTGAACAGTTGTATGAAAAATACCATAATCTCTAGTCGCGCGATTTGAAAACGCGCGTCAAGTTTTTGCCATCTGAACATAGCCTAATATTATCTTCAATACACTCAATAAACAACTATAAATAGTATGTCTAACGCAAGAACTTATCAATACCAATGTAGTGGATATTATGAAAAAGATACAGGTGTAGATATTTTCGAATTTTAATAAGAATTAGTAAAACAAGTCAATTTTCTTATAAAAACGCAAAATAAATTATAACTCTGCAGGGGTTGAGCTTAGAGACCACCCGTAGAACAATTTTTTGCAGTTGATGACCTCATCTATCCCCTACTTGCGTTTGATCCACGACTTTTTGACCACCCTGTATAAGTAGGTACTTAACAATATATCTAGAATTAATTGTTGATAAATTCAAATTTATGCTACCCGGTACTGATATAGCAAATTACTGAAAATCATTGGTGGTAACACTAGATACTGTCTTCCGTATAAATATTTCTTATGGTTCTGAGATTCGAAGGCGAGCAGTTTAATAAATTAGTTTATTATACTACATTTTGTATACATATATACTATATTACAATGCATCTACTACTATTTAAAGGAGAATTAGTAATGAAGTGAGTAATGAGTAATTAATTTTCATCACTAGGCCAGCAGTCCCCTCAAGGTGGGGCCTCACCTCCTCAAAGGTTTAAGATCTCTGCCTGCAGGGATTCTGACCTTAGGTCAACGTGCCCTCGAGGCAATAATTGCAATTTTCTCCATTTCGACGACACCGATTTGGACAGGTAAGTTCCATGCCACATTTTATTTTAATTAATTATCGTTTCATCATGTATTAACAGATTTCAAATGAAATAGTTTTTAAATAATACTAAATCGTGGAATTATTGGTTATTAAAGAAAATTATTGTTGATATACTACTTATTAAAGTATTATTTACCAAAAAGGTTCCAAGTACACGCACCGGTTCCAACTTATCCGATTAGGTAAGTTTAAACAAAATGGAATGACATTGTTTATTGATGGTATTGTTGGCTGTTGTTATGTTTGAAGGTTATCATTTTATTGGTTCCCTGTTTTGGGTTCGAAACTTTAGTTTTGATGCCACGTGACTTTGTGTGCATATTACTACTGTTTCCTCTCATGGATTATCTTTACATGGCTCAAAATCCTAGTCCCAAAGAAATATTAATTTGTAAAGCTAAAATAAATGTGTAATAAATTTGATTCAGTTGAGTATACTCGTATATTATTTATGGCTTTCAATGTGCTTTTATGTAAAGAACTGTATGAGAATGGTAAGTAGCAGTCAAAATGTGTTAAAACCAGCATAAGAATAAATCTTAATAATTTCAGTTTTATTACAATATGTGTCCATGTGTTTAATTCTGTAATTGAATATTACGTATTAATATACAAAATGTAATTTTTTATTTGTGTAGAATTAAAATCTACTACAAGTCTGGATTCTAATATGATGCTGAAAGATTAGATTGAATGAAAGTTATTTGAATAATGTCACTATATTAAAGCGCGGATCTTGAAGGAAACAACTACCGGTTATCATATTGTGATTTATGTTTTACTTTAGCGTTTCTTGTATTGTATATTTAATTAAGTAACCTTTTTTATTTTCCAGATACAACAACCCTCCGCCTGTGGGACATCCTATAAACAATGGAAGCCTTCCCCCCTTCATTACCCCCCAACCAATGTTTGCTCCGAACGCAACACGTTCCCCGCCATTTCCAGTTAGCAGTCAAAACCAGTTTCCTCCCACCATGCAACCAAATACATCTCAGGGGGGCGTACTTTTGCGTCATCCGGACCCATTATACCAATCCCGAAGTAAGTGCTGTAATAACTTTATATAAATAGTGCTATCTATACAAATATTTTGTATTTAATGAGACACAACATTTACGAAAAACTGTCCTGCTTTTTGCGACTTTAGTCATGTTGACACAGATTATTTTTAGCATATACTGTGCCCATAGTTTCTATAGATCTATTGAAACTGGCACAGTAGGCAAACAACTAAGTAAAATAAATCTAATAAATCTGTCTCGTTGTATCGGTGTTTTATACTAGTTTTTTAATCCAGTGTGAACTCTATATAACGTCATTTTCTATAACGTAAAACTGTCTATTACGTAAAAATAGATACACCTATTTGGTTTAACACAAAATCCACACATTAGTTCACTCTTTATTACGCAACAGCGAACGAAGAAATATTTTCATATTTAGACATCAACAACATATTTAAGTGTAATTGTTTTTGTAATCAGCTTACAAAAGTAACCTTTTGAGGTGCCGAAATTTCTAAGACACCTGAGGTCATAAACATCTCGCCTTTGTTATTGTTAATTTCATTTACACGTGTGCCATTATTCTTAGATTACATAGCCTGTAGGAAATTTTGGTCTCAGTTACTAAACGCACCACCATCAGCTATCGTGTATTATCAGTCGTAAACAAACTTTGAAACTGTCATGATGGCCAGTAAAAGAAAAGCGTTATGTATTTATGTATTTAGAATAATTTACCTATTGATAGTAATAAAATTAGAAATTATTGTAGGTAATTGGTTAAATTTGTTTTTTTTTCCTATACCGTCACTATAACAAAAACCTGAAATGTTGAAATTCCTTATAAAGAGTTTACACTGTAGATCTATTTTTTTTTTTTAGATGTGCTTGGCATGCAACCATCTGCACCAATGATGCGTACACCAGAGAGAGATGAACGCATACGCGACGGCAGTGGGGAACCGTGTCTTAATCCACAAATAGCTATGAGGAATAATATGGAAAGGGTAATGGGCCGAGAGAATCCCATTGGTGCACCTGGTGCTCCATTTACTGTTCCCGGAACAGGCAATCAGGGGCCAGGTGCATATACCGGTCTTGGTTTAGGGGACGTCTACGTTTCTGATTCTTCTGGGTAAGTAATATTCCGTGGCCCTTGCACATAGCTCCATTCGAAATCCAGGAAAATATATTTTCTCCAAATAAGAAATAACGTTAGTCCAATAGGCATGACATGTGTGTACATTTACCATACTTTAACGCTGAAAACTATAGACGTTTAGTTTTATATGCCCTATAAATTTACTTAACCCATACGTTTACAGATACGGCGGAGGCATCCTTATCAATCCGATTGCGATCAATCCGAGTAATCTTATGATGCCCGTGCCAGACAGACCCTATTACGGGAACTACCCCGGTCTGCTTACGGTCGTCACTGATGACACCCCTAATTATTACGAAGGCCCAGATGCCATGAACTTTCCTCAATACCAAGGTCCCGTTTCGACTGCACCAATAAGCGAATATTCCTACATACCAGTGTCCCAGGAGTCAATATATTCTTACGATACTAGTAAGTGATTAATTGATTATTGTGGGTTTCTTAATTATTTCTTCAAGCCGCAGACATTTCTGTTGATTATTTAAAGAATTATGTGATCGGCCTTCTGTGCCTACTAAGCTTGTTGACATCGACACAGTTGTAAACCTTTTCTTTTCTTTTATCTTATCTTTTGCTAAAGCAACATCTAATGGATATTAATGTTTTATAGATCTTGACAATTATCCAGTTGGACACGGGCAAACCCCGGTTGGACACGGTCAAACCCCGGTTGGACACGGGCACACCCCGGTTGGACACGGGCACACCCCGGTTGGACACGGGCAAACCCCGGTTGGACACGGGCCAACCCCGGTTAGACACGGGCCAATCTCAGTTGGACCGGCACAGGATTATCAAGCGCCTCAGGATTCTAACTATCCTTTTAATAATAGTTAGTAAATTGTTATTTTATCACTTCACATGTAGTCGCAGAAATTTAATAAATAACTTAACTAGTCTATGATGATTTTAAAATACTTTAAAAAAATTGACTGTTTAATTACATTCTGTTCTAATAAATATGTAATAAAAAAAACCATTACGATAATTGTCCAATCCGTGTTGTTTTTAAAAAAATATTGAAGATACTGTATTTAAAATTTTGTGTATCCATTTTACAGTGACAATCCCGACAGACTACCGCGACCCACCAGGCTTCCCGCCAAGACCCCATGAACGACGTGGTGAATCTCAGTGGCTCCGTTCATCGGTAATATATTTATTTACGCGTTAATTTCGGATTCTTTATAAAATTAATTACACTTCACTAACACAGTTTAAAAGAGATAATAAAGTATTTTAGTTAAAATTAAAGTAATGGAACAAAATTAACTGTTTTTTATATCGGAATAATGTAGTGTTTAGGTTTTTGAAAACTATAAATGTACATATTTTTGTACGGATCAGAGTCCTGGTCAATTCGAGCAGCGAACCGAAAAAACATAAAGGCATTCGAGATGTGGTGTTGGAGGAGAATGTTGCGAATACTATGGACAGCAAAAAGAATCAATAACTCCATTCTCGACCAACTAAAAATCACCACAAGACTGTCGACTATCATTTACAAACGGGTGGTACTTTGGCCATATTGCTAAGAGAGAACCAAATACTCTCGACAAGTTGGTAATGGTAGGAGAAGTCGGGGTCGATCGCCTACCCGTTGGTCTGACCAGATAAAGACAATGCGCTGATGCGCTGAGACAAGCTGAGGATAGAGGGAAGGCAGCTAATCGATATATCGGTTAGGGCTTTCATTCAGTTTAGTTCATTACGATGAAGAAGAATTAAAATTAATAATTATAAATTTAAATCTATGTACTAATATAAAACGCGACGAGTTAACATTTACATATTGTTTCAAGTGCTTTACAGCAATCGTTGTTATTGAGTCAGTCTCGCAGACTTAGAGATTAAACACGTTATCTGTTAAATTGTATTTTATATAAGAAAAATATTTACAGGCTTTTGAATTTGATGAGCCGGTATTGCCGTGGCGAAGCCCACCAGTTGAGGCTGGCAATCCACAACCAGATCCAGTGAGTGCTAAATTTGTATTTTATTATTTATATACACTTTATTGTATCAGATTAAAAGAAACAAACATAGTGCAACGGGCAAACTAAATTAAGCGTGAAATAATATTAAAAAAAAGTGAAAATAGTTATTTTAAAATCAAATAAAGTATGACTTACCAAAACGAAGTGATGAGAGAGCAAATATTTAATGTTTATTAAAATTAGATTTTGAAGAATAATGCCTAACGAATGTAATGGGGGTAATTAGAATAATTTTATTCTAATATTAGGTATTGTAAATTCTATAATTTGATATTAAAAATGTATTCATTTCTCTTTATATAACTGGTATGTTATTGAATAAACAAAAATCTTAATTGCTAATTAATCGGGGAATACATAAGCGATGAATTGAGCTGTTATATTAAATTTGTTTGAAAAAATAATAAAGCAAGATAGAAGGGCTGATTTATATAGAGTATTGCTATTCCAGATGATGTCAAGGAACAGGCGGGCTGTGGGCGCCGATAGAACCGTTCAGTTGCCGGAAAGGCCTGCGGCACCACCCTTCAATCCGACAGACGAATCTGACGAGGTATAAAGTAGAAATATACATACATACTAGCTAACTCGACAAATGTTGTTTTACCATGTATATTTCTAGGAAACATTTTTTAGTTCAATAAAAATAGGGGATGATCGTAGAGGGGTGAAAATTAAGGGTTGAATGTATGTTTGTATGATGTATCATAAAAAAATTAAAACAAAAAATATTGTAGAAAAAATATTTTTTTTTAGGGTGGACCCCTTATCACTTAGGGTTTGAAAGATTGATAGTAGCCAATTCTCAGACTTACTGAATATGCATAAAAATTTCATAGGAATCGGTCGAACCGTTTCGGAGGAGTATGGGAACGAACATTCTGACACGAGAATTTTATATATTAGATAAATTCTTGAAATCATTGTCTTCTTTAAAAAGTAATTGAAATAAATAGTCGTACACCAATTTCTTTTAAATAAAAGATAATTTTGTTTTTTTTTTAGGTTATTCGAAATTTTCACCTAATCTTATTTCTTATTCCAGCACAAGTTGGAGGAGGAATTGATGGCCCTCGAACGTCGTATGGATACCGAGTTTAAAATATTTTAAACGTTTTACAAGTGCAATGCATTGTTTCGTTTCAACCTTTTAGTTAAGTTTTGCATTTGTTAAAGTTCATCTTTTTTCTATTTCGTTTATTTTTATAGTTTTATTTATACTCAATCCTACATCCAAAAACTTAAGTTTATTATTATGCGCCCTCTTGCAATTCTCTGTTAAAATACTGAAGTGTAACAGGTTTGTACCCATTATTCCACGTTGGTATTAATTAAGCATATTAATACTTAGATTTAAAAACAAAGGAATACAGCGGCTCGAATACAGAGTATCATATTTATATGTATTAAACTATTAATGTAATCATTAAATAGGGTTGTAATCAGATTTGTATAATTTCTGCTATAATTCAGTTGTATCATATCTCTACTTCCTTTATTCGACCTCTGCCTTTATTATTTGATCTGAGTATAAACTTGAAGACGTGAATTTTATTACATGTATTGTTGCGATTCAAAATCTTTTGTAAGAAATTTAAAAGCCGTCCAATTTGTTCACTTTTGGAGAATGAAATCATCTATTGCATACAATCATTCATTTTTTAGACGTGCTCAAAATTTGTAATTTGTTAATATATTAAGAAAATGTTATGTGATATCACGGTCACTTGTTGATTGTAAAATTGTTTTATCACCACATGTAACTTGTAAAGTTCACTTGTAAAAATGTTTAACAGTTTTTCAGTTTGGGCAGCGATACGTTGAAAAACGTGGAAGAGCATTTGTTTCAAATTAGTTTGAATAGCTTTTTCTTACACGTCCAATCTAAACTTGCATTTTGGCCTAAATTAGTCTTCGATTTTCTATACTTTTACACTTACTCAAATAAATTACAAATGAAATAAAGAACAACCCTAAATAGATCGCCATTTGGCTTGTATACAATATATTAATGGTATCCAAATAAATACTGATAAATATTCAGATGTAGGTTAAGTAATTTGATCACTATTCACACTTATACTTAAAAATTATAAATCTTGAATAGTATTAAATTATTTATTAGTTGTTGTTGTTCAATCGGTGTTGATCGATGATGATCGTCGAAGTATATATCTATAGATGTCAATTTATGTGTCTACTATTTCAAATGTGTACTAAATATGTAGAAGATGATCGTCGTAAGAGTAGTCTTGAAATTAATGTCTATGAACTTTAACTACATTATATTTATGATTGGCGTGGTAAACCTGTTCTTTTCTATTATATATCAGAAGAGGGCTCGATGAGGAACTATGGGAGATGGAGTAGTTTAAAAATTTCGTAAATGCGTTCTTGGAAAAATTGTTAAAATCACAAAACGTAAAGGGAAATCAAGATGTTCGTACGTCGTGGAAATACTTAAGGCTGGTGATAAATAATATTTTACTTATCTACAGTGTATAACAAAACCCCAGTAACGAAATATTTTCATGACGCCGACACTGATCCACGGATGTCGGACAATTGTTTGACTGTTGTGGGGTTTTAGTTACACAGTGTATGTCTATTTAGAGGTGTAATTATTTAAGGCTGTAATATAGATAGCTGGGAGATTCAACGCGACGCCGCTTTGTATATAATTTTATTTTGATACCAGTGTCGGTGATGCGAATTTTTATAATTAAATTTATCGAAAAATATAAACTGTCAGGAATCTTGTCAATGATCTCAGCTGGCTTTTTTATGGTTTGACTATCCATAGTGCAATATGTTATCAAAGTAGTGTAATGGATTTATGCTATGCTATGCCTCTTAGATATTTGCTATTGGAACTCTTGTACATAAGACGAAAGAGCTTTCTATTGTTCTTTCATATAATTATAAGAATTTTAATTGATTGTCAATTTTGTTATTCAATGGGAGCCCTTATTATTCGTGAATGATTTGTTTTAGACATTTTTTATATTAAAATCGTTTAATTAATTGTTTCGAATCGGTGATGTTTGTTGAAAAATTATTGTTAGATAATTTTAAAATACATAATAAGAATAATTTTCGGCGTCGGCTTGTATCTTTCAGTGATATTTTTGTAGGGGTAATGAGAGGTGCAAACCTCTAGATCATCTTTGCATTTGTTAAAAAATGCGTAGGATCATATTGAGTTCACGTATTTATTTAAACTGCATATTTATGAGTGTCACTTGACGCCACCTAACTAGTAAATGTTAAAAATAAAAGATTCTTTTAAATACAAACTGTATTATTTTACCTCCTATAATTTTATCTTGTTTGGTTAAATATACAAACATTTTGTTTAGTCATTTGTGTATGTTGAAGAAAACATTTTTAACCTTAATAAATAAAAATGAAACGCAAAACTGTTGCTAAGCCTAAAACTCGAACACAGTTGGACAAATTCGAAAATTTTTTGGTAATTTATTCCTCGATCTTATGGAGAGGAAAGTTTTAAAAATATTAAACAAATTGAAAAATTTAGTACTTAGGTTTTTATACCGGAAAATCTCTATTGGGTAGCAAAGCAAAATGTTCCAAATGTAATAGTAGGGGAGCCCAAGCGGGGATTTCGGGATTTACTAAAGCGCGGCAGATTAATATACAGGGGGATACCTTGTACCCGGTTAAGTACCTCCACAAAACATGAGGCCCATATATAAGGCCGCCCGTGAAGGATACAGGATCAGATTAGCAAAAATTGACCATCAGAAATTGTAGGGTAGGGTGAGTTAATTACATCCTAAAAAGTGTATATTCCACTAATCTGACAATTTGAGAGTGACGTAAAAAAAGGGGAGGGCAACAAAATTGTAAAAAAAACGTCATCTCGACATTCTCGAGCGTAGCTAATTTTTATTTTATTTTAAAGGTAATAATTTAAGAATAATGAAAAATATATAATTTGACGATTTCCGCAAGCCGAAATAACAAAAATTCGTCGATAAAGTTAAATGCGTGCAGCTGCGTAATGCCTACATTTCCTTCTCCGCGTTTCTATTCCTCTCTCACTCTTTCTCTATATATTACTCTCTCACTCCGTCCCCACTCTGGTTTCTGTTGCCATGACGCCATCACAGCTGATCATAAAGACTCGTTCGTGGCATACTGTTTATAACTTTTGAACGACTAACCCGATCGGAATCTACTAAACGGCGTTCTAAATATTTCCCTCAAAATTACATTTCCTGTGAATTTGAACCGATTCGGACCGAAAGATTTTGAGAAATTTTGAAAAATCTCAAAAAAATAAGTTTTTTTTTTTAAGTGGTTTTTTTGGAATAAATTTTCACCGGCTTTATCGATCAACTTCAAAAACTAATCCGCCTTTGAGCTTGAAAAACCACGTCGATCGCCACCAAGCTGGTCAAAAGCGGTTGATTCGTTCGAGAGATATCGTGAACGAAAGAAACCCGAAAAAGTGTTTTTTCGGGATAACTCCGAAATTTGTGGTTATTTAAAAAATTACTTATGAGGATGATAAAACTGCGTCGAATGCTGCAAACCGCGTGAAAATTGCTTGATCCATTCAAAAGTTATTGCGGTTTGAAAATTCCAAAAATAGTGTTCTATGAAACTTCTATCAGACTTTCGAGCTGGGAGAGCTCAAATGCATAGAAATATTATTTCTTTGAACTCAGCGAGCTCAAAATTATATTTTGAGCTCAAAAATGTCATAAGTACAATTTTAAGCGCCCAGGAATGGAATTAGCGGAAAGTTGCAGGGATGGCCTTTAAGGTGAACCGTTTTTCTAAATTTTTTTTGTCAGATCAGGCGAATCCCTCTAGATAATCGTCAGATTATGAGACAGTACGTTTAGAACATAAAGATGAACCATATATATCTTAATCTGACGCGCTTGAGTATTTCAAAATGGCGAATTTTTTTTGCACATTATGAAAATGGCCGCGGGTTTGCGTCCCATCGAAATCGTCATTTTTTTTTTCATTTTCAACCCTTAGATACAACCACCCGCATCATGCAAACGATAAGATTAACATACGTACATTATTAAAAATACGTAGGGCATTGATGCTATCAATATCTGACGCGCTCGAGGATGACCATGCAACAGTTTTTTTTACATATTTAAAAATCTATAGCCGCTTACCCCACCGATGTAAAGGTATATATAATATAACATTTTTTTCTTCTTATCATCTAAGCTTTGCATCCCAATAGGTCTCTACGACGCTCGAGTAAATCCCCATTTAGCCTCGTGGGCTCCCCTAATATAAGTAGATATGGTCATTGGTCATATTAGGTGAAACGAACGCGTGGGCAGCAAATAAACTGTAACGGACGTGACGTCGCCAGTCACATCCTGCCAAGCCAAGCCATGCCATGTTGACCACCCCTCGAACCAACCGCCATGCCTGCCAACCGCAAATGCCAACCACTTGGAGGGGATGAGTCTATATAAGCCAAAGCCAGCCATAATAAAACTTACTCTTTGGAAGACGCAGCTAATAAAAAACACGTGTGCTGTCAGTGCTTGTTCATGTTGCCTCGCGCATATGGCGTAATATCCAAGTGTTCACATGTTTGATATTCCGTGACCGCGCCCGCGAGTCAACGTGAACAAGCACTTACTCTGCCATTTTATTTTCTCTGTCAATTATAATAAATTAAAATACAATTATCAATAAAAGAAGAGGACAATTATAAAACAATAAAATTAATTTAGAACATCTCGTATATTTTTAAGTAATTCTCATCCATTTTAGTAATAATAGGATAGTATTAAAAACAGCTTTTCTGATAACTGGTTCGAACTTACATCACACAATATATCATTTTATAGAAAGTAATTTAAATTTTATTCAGCCTTGACCAACTTATGGCATTCTGTGTAAAAAAGTGATTCTTTTGGTATGCAAATACAAACAATATTCCAAACTTTAATATAAGTTTTATGAGTAGGTATTATATTTAGGAGCTTTTCAATTTCATAAGCGGTTTAATTAGTCTATAACAGTAAATTTACACCTAGTATCATTAAATACTGAGCCCATTTTATGGTTACGGCTATGTATAGATGTACGTAAATAACACCAAATAGCAATTTCATCAAATTATAATATCTCTATACAAAGATGTATAATATAAAATACTCTTATAAAATTTAAGAGCTATATATGTATATGTATTGATATTTATAACTAAAACATGAAAATGCATGTAAAAAAAATATACAATATATTTTACTTAAAAACAATATCTTTCCTGATTCTTGCACTGTTAGCGTCAATTTATCAACTTTCAGTATGTTTATAGTCAAAAATGATTGGGAAAATTCTGGTAAAAATATCACTTGCAAAATTCATAAACATTTTATTCTAAAAACTCTCTGACAAAAAATTCTCTAATAGATAAGAAATTTCGTATATATTTTCGGCGAGTTACAATCATGTTTGAAAATGTTTTGAATCACTTTTAACGGTCTTCTTATTTAGTCATATTCGTGTATTTATTTTTTTGATTTTTCATACGTACTGATATTCTGTTATTATTTAATTAAGAATTTCAGCCGTGCATATATATATTTTTATTTATTTTTTATACTTTTCCTGTATAAATGGATGATTTAGACACAAGTTTATCGAGGCTCGCTTTGTTGTGTCTATCATTAGCATCTTGTCTAAAATATCTTTTAGTTGGGAGTATTTTTTAGCATCTTCAGGAGCTAAACGTTGATTTGATGGTGCTAACTCTGCTTGCAGGTCTCTGGTTGGTTTTATATCATTTATTACAATTATTTTATCCTGAAATAAGAATTTCAAATATAGAACGTTTATTTCTCGTAGTATGAACTGCGTTTAGAGCTTACGAAATTTTTCGTCTTCTCTCAACTCAGCGCTACTTGACTTGGGTATAACTATTATAGATTTGCAATCAGCCTATAAGTTTGTAAGAAAAACCAAGCATCAAATCAAATTCAAGATAGTCCTTGCGCAAATAAACTTACCCTTTCAGTAATGTGGTCATATTCCTGATAGAGAAATTTGAAGTCAGCATCAAAATGTTGATCTTTAAACTTCCCTTTTCTTAAGATTTTTCGAGATATTTTTCCTTTTAGATCCATAAAGAACTTTAGCATTTCATTATTCGTCTTTCCATCGAATAGTATTTGTCCTGTAGCTAGTTCATATATGGTACAGGCAGTGGACCACATATCCACCCCATAGTCATATGGTAGACCCAGTATGATTTCTGGTGCCCTATAATATCTCGATACTAGGTAGGATGTTGAATTGTTATCGGATACGTGGGCAGCCGATCCAAAATCACACAGTTTCAATTGTACTTTGCTTTCGTTTACTAATATGTTGTCTGGTTTTATGTCTAAAACAAGATTTTCAATATTTAAAAAAATCTCACTAAAATCTATCAAATCCATACATAACATTACTTTGTATGTGAAAATAGTTAGTTTGAAAAGTCCAACGCAAATTCTTGTGGCAGAATTAAGAACTGAAACGGCAACCTATCCAATTAAAATTTTCAGCCTTAAGGATTAATAATTTGGGTGAGAAATGGTGCTACATATTTTATTATTAGCAAAGAGCACGTCACTATTTTCAATAAAATTAACGCTTAAAAGATTCTTCAGCGTCAGCAATTAATAATTTTCTATATAGAGTTTAATAATGAATTCCTTACCCGCATGTACAATTTCACTTTTCTTTAACAATTTTAATGCCAACAATATTTGTTGGGTGTAACTCCTGACCGCATTAATGTGTATTCCGCTGTTTTTGCCATATTTCTTTAATACTTCTCTTAAATTCATAGACAATGGTTCAAAAACCATACACAAATGGTGTTTATGATAAAAATTTCGAAAAAGACGAAGGCAGTGATATTTATCGTCAGGGTCTGCATCGTTCAGCTTTTTTAAAATCTCCAATTCTTTCAATCCAGTTTTTTGCCTAGAAAATCAAATACACAATATTATAAGAATAATAATGATGACAACCATGAATCTGTGATCTTTTAGATGCATCCATAGGATTTTATTACTTTAAATTTTCACAAACGCTTTGTAAGGAATTTAGGACTCCCACACAAAACTGCGAATTCGCATCGCAAATATCTGCGAATTCGCACGAACGCAACGCAAGAATTTCCGATCTGCTTCGCATCGCACATTCCTGCGATTTTACGTCATCCTTGGTGACACCATTTTAGTCCGCTCTGAGACAGCTTTAGAGAAAAGTGGCGGAATATGATATAGATTTTTTAATATCTTTAATTGAGGAACGTCCCGTCCTTTGGTCCTGAACTGATAGTCAGTCCCAGCATTTCCAAAGGCATAACAGGAATTCTTCCTTTGTACGATCGTTTTTGAAGGCATGGTGATAATATACTCAAAAGCTCTTCAAATGAAGATAATATGCTCATTCTAAAATAATCAATAAATGTATCATCTTCAGCCCTTAGATTGTAATTATGTATGTATTTAGAAATATATTTATATAAAGTAATAAATGATTAACTAAAGTGAAACCCAACCCTGAAAGACCTTTAAAAAAATATATAGCTAACTAGCGGAACCGACAGTAACCCATCTTAAATATAAAACCTCAATCTAAAAAAATTGGGTTACATTTCTTGAATCCAAGTGGGACAAAAAATCATCGGTTTTTATATACAGATAACATCTGCTAAAAGTCAACACAACATTATACAGTTACAGTTTAAAAACAATTTCAAAAAAAGAAAAGTCACGTTAAGAAAAATCTGTTCTACCAAATAAGGGCGGAACTGGTAATGATATCAAAATATAAAAGAAAGTTCAAATACCAGGACTAAGTATGCATTTATACTTTTTTGAGATATTTGAATAGTAATAGGTACTATTTGGAAAAATTAACTTACATTATCTCATTATTTCGTATAATTTTGATAGCAACGTCAGAATTCTGCCGACTTTGATCTCTTGCACGCACCACGTTCGAAAATACACCTTGTCCAGTATATCCGTATACAGAATATCGATTATCAAGAACTTCTCCTATACGAACCCTGTAAAAACATACAAATTTTAAACATTTGCATCTTATAATCGCGAGTATTATTGAAAGCGAAATAAACCAATTTCTTATAAATAAGAAGACAAAGAAAAGAATTGGAGCAAAAAGCTGTCTGAGCCTGATTCTGGTCTCCTGTAAAGAAAACTGGAGCTACACTTTTAGTACCTGATATGTGATCATTTATTTTTTATAATAGACAAGTAGGTGATCAGGCGTTAAAGTATATTGGTGCACAGCCGGAGTGCGAACCTACAACCTCAGGGATGAGAGTCTTAAGACTCGAAAGTAGAGAACGTCTGTAAACCAGATTTTTTTTTCGAAATAGATCCCATATTTCCAAGTTACAACCTCCAATGAGCCAAGACAAGAATTGACATCTAAGATTAGTCCCTCGATTTATAATCAAAGCTTTAGCACCTAAGGTTATTTCTTTAGAATATTTTTATTTACCTATAGTAGCCTTCTGCATCATCCCAATTATCGGTGAGAGATGGGTTTTCCGGCACCAATTTCTTTATATTCTGCCCAGCTGAAGGGGTCTAAAAATCATCAAAATAATTAAAAAAATTTTAAAACACATTATAAAGGTCTTCGAAGACTTTTTTAGTCATTAATTGTGTTATATTATTATTTTACGAAATTAAAACGATCCGGCAACAAGATTTCAATATTTTTTTTAATTTAGACTTTAAAATATATTGACTTTAAATATATTGGAATAATTGTGAACTCATGATTCGTTATCTATATGATCACCGATGGTATTCGTAATGTCTGCTAAGTAAAGTTTATGTTTTCGATCGATGATTGAATTGAGGCGATAACCTTTAATCTCACAAACATGTCTGCATTGCAAATCGTAATAATAGTAAACACTAATTACATCACAAACAATATCACCAAACAGGTAAAACTAAAAGAAGACAAAAGATGTCTTATGGATACAAAGCCGCCTCAGGCTTTTCTGTACTGTCAAATTTATAATGATTTGTACGCACGTCGCACATATAAGGTTAATAAAGTTTTTCTTAATATTCGATTTAAATCACATTCAACGAGAAAACCCTTAAACGTGAATCATTTGTACATAAGGCATATGGAGTCATACAAGCGCGATATGCAACAATACTCTTGCAACGCGTTTCCGATAACGCGGAATCAATCTATCGTGTTATAGGGGGGATTGATATGGTTATAAAGAGGACTTTTACCTAATTTCATGTATAATCAAACCAAACCTGAAAAGTTTGAAAGCATCAAATACTTACGCCCACACTATTGACATTATCATGATCTGCAAACATATCCCAGTGTTGTGTTTTTTCTTTTTCCTTTACATTGACATCGTTTGATGCCCCAGGAACGCTATCCTCAACTTTATCTTTAAGTTCAGTTTGTGCTGTTTGAACATTTTGATCCGGCGTATTATTAATTGGCGATTTATTATTTGCTTTATTTTCTACATTGTTATTTTCACCTAAACGCTGAAAACGTATTTGTTATTATTTATCCTTAAAATAAAAAATACCACACATTACAATGTTGTTACCTTTAAAAGTTGTTCACGTTGTTTTCTTCTCTTTTCTATAATTTGTTCTTCTCTTTCTGCTTCGTCATCTGAATCAATTGACACATTTAGTTCATCACTGGAAGTTCCCACAGTCGCAAATGATGTCTGCAAGTTCAGCAAAATAATTTATTTTAAATTGTGTTCCACAAAAGTAACATAGCTTTATCTTTGTTTACACGAGTATTATTTAAAGAATTACAAGTATTATCCGTAGAAAGCAGTCAACCGATACAGAGTATTAAAGTGAAAACAAAAGGCTTTAGGAAATTAAGGATATCAATTATTCATTGTTATTTTTGAAATTTTTTACACAAAAACTAATCAATTACAGGCACTACTTTTTAAATTCGTAACTCAACTGGTCCTATAAAAGAATCCATTTGATATATATTTTTTGTTTGATAGTTACTAATCAGCCACAAATAGTTAAGTCCATATATGAAAAATGTAATAAAACAATATTTGAGTTCAACATCTGCTTCATAGGTTTATTTTACAAACTTACACGTCTTTTCTCTATCGAAGGCCCTTCTCGCCGGTCTCGAGAACGCCGCGGAGAGTGTCTATGTCTGTCGCGATTCGACCGCGAATGCGATGTCGGGCTAGCGCGACCATGGTTTCGAGATAGGGTAGTATGCGTCTTTGATCTTGTTTTCGAACTTCTTTCTTTTCTAACCGATGTAGAAGAATTAATGTCTTTATGATTGTGTCCATATTTTTTTGTTACAATATGTACATCCTTTTCCTTAATATCGTTATGTCTTTTTTCATTATGGCAATGGTCCCGAGAATCTAATACTTTTTGCTTTTTTTTACTGTTTCCTTCATAACTATCTTTATGTAAGTTATGTTTTTTTTTTACTTCTGAAGATCGGTGTTTTTTAGAAGTTTCTTGATGTTCTTTAATATGCTCTTTTTTAGACACTTCATGTTTCCTTCCTGATGTTTTATCCTCTTTTTTATCAGTCAAATAGGACACCAGCTTTGCTTCAAGCAACTTTTTTTGTTTCATTAGTTCCTCTAAATTAAGGTCATCTTCTATATGTGAATTTTCTGGGCTAGTGCAGTTATTTTGATCACTTACAGTATCAGAATCTGATATGATTTCGATTGATTCAAATGCTGGTTTATCTTTGAGGACTGACCTTACTGGTCTCACATTACCACTCTTACTTAATGTGGATGGTCGCATTTTCTTGCTAGCCAGTTGACTTATATAACTCTGCTACCATATATTTTTTATTTTTCCACTGTTAATTGATATGTTCAGGAGTATGCAGTAAACCTTGTACCCTGTAACAAGTAATTAAAAGATGTAGGTACTTACAGCATTATGATTAAATGTAGTTTGACATCCAGATTCATCATTTATAAAGTACTTCAATCTGCAACCATTTAAATAACCTTATTACTTTAAGCAAAATAGAAACAATTCAAATGCTTTGTTTTTACACCAAACCTTTTATTACTGTGTAGCCTAATACAAACATCTATAGTCAATACCATTAAGATTTGAAAACATAACTAAATTTCATAATATTTGGTTCATATTATAAACTAAGACTTCTGTCAATAACAAATTGTCAGTTGTTGCTAGTTAATGTGTCAATAGGTAGAATAATATTGTATTCTTATACTCTATGTTAGGTAATTCTATATCTGTCTGTGGAAGTTACAAGTTTTTTACATGCATATACATATGTCATATTAAACAATGCACATAGATAGTAAGCAAATGGACGTTAATCAATATAAATATATTAGTAGTGCAACCTTCCCCCAGTGGGCCAGCAGATAATTTCTGTTTCACTGATAAATTACAATATGACCATTGAGTACTCAGCTACCACACTTAAACAGGATCTGTTTTCAGAATTTCTGTCATTATAAATGTTCCGTTATCAGTGATAAGTCCTTTATGTTCTAATTTAATTATATTATACTAATCTAAATTGGATTGATAATCCAACATCCTAGTATGGGAACTACACCTCATGCAATAGGCATGACCTACCTGACCCCTCTAAATATGCCAATAGTTTTATAGTTCGACACATCTGCTCTTATAACATTGCCAAAACAATCTATGTAGATGTTAATCACCTTTTATAGTATATTCTTTACTATTGAACTCATGTATTGACTTTTGAAGAAGGCTTGACACATAAGAACAATATAAAATAAATTCAGATAAATATTATTTGTTTCATCTTTTTTTTATGTTCTTTTGTGTTTTGTTTAATAGAACAGGCGGCAAACGGGTAGTAGGCTCATCTGATGTTAAGTGACACCACCACCCATTGACATTAAATGTCTAAGAATTGGTAAGCGTTTTTCTTGAAGGACCATATGTCTAATTTGTTCTGAAATACTTCAGCGGGTTGCTGAATCATCATAGAATATAGTCAAGTGTAGTAATCTGGTACTGGGGAGCTCCTGCCTAGACGTTTGAACAGTATTTGTGGGGTCTTGCTGAGTACACTAAGCTTCTTGGAGGCTAATTTAGCCTATCCTCCTTAATGACTACGAAACTGAACGTTGTTCGATATTTCAACGCCCAGTACACCGATGCTAGTTGTGGCCTTACCGAAAGTGTCTTCGAAGTTTGTGATATGTTATAATTATTTTGTATACATGATAAAATAAAAAAACAAATAAAAACAAGTGGTAAACTTTAATAGATTTAAATTCAATATTTTAAAAACGGTACTTTAAAGTTCAAATGCTTAAAATATAGGCATGAATTCAGATTTCATTGGTTTTCTAAAAACAAATTTACAGTAAACAATAAGTAACTTACAATTTCATAACTTACGATTAACTTCCTTCAAGACATGTAGCCTCGTACTTCTCGACTACAATCAACTTAACTAGGATCAATTTAATTGTTGTATTGTATCAAGCTATCTCTAATTAATTGGTGAGCTAGGTTAATACTTAATAAATTAAATATACCGTGGACACTGGACATATCACATCACACCAAGTATTGACATTTGACATGATCACAGAACACAGACTATGTAGAATGTCGAATGTCAATTGTCGACTTTATATCGACAATAGTGATGAGTTGTGATAATAAAATAAACCACCAACTCCAAGACGGAGGGAGTTGCGATTAATAAAATACCGCTGTGGTCTAAGATCCGGCTGCAGGATTAGTGCGCTCATCTGTTATTTGCTAAAAACCAAATTTTTATGTTTATTTATAATTAGGAGAATAATCTACCAGGGTGCCTTTCCCTCGCAATATATTTATAAAAATATTATGTATGTATACAAAAATAGTGATAAGTTTACTAGATTAGAATATACGCACAATTCTAATACTCGGAACAAACGCAGGCTGCAATTTCCCCGTACTAGACTATCTAAAGTTAGTAACTCTTTTTTGGGAAAAGGGATACTCTTCTTTAATAAAGACCCAGAGACTTTTACTAAATTTAAGAAATGTATTAAACAAAAGCTATGTAGAAAGGCTTTCTATAAAATTAATGATTATCTAGTTGATAAAGGGGCCTGGAACTAGTGCTAGGCTACTTCTAATTAATTTGCGATATTTGTTTTAAAATAAATGTTGTTTGATGATTTGCTATTTTACCGAGTAAGAAGGGTAAGAGTACCGAGAGTTTTTTACGCCGGCTTTTTCTCTCGGCCTACACCCTCTGTCTTCTTTGCCTATGAGTAGGGATGCCTGCAGTTTCAATTTTAATGACGTGGAATAAGTGATACCGGTATCTTATGTTCCATAACAAACATATTTTATTTTATAAAATTGTATATAGGTTTCAAACGTACAACATCAGGATTGAAAGTCAATGATTAACCACTGCTCGATCATATAAACGCTTATATATTTTATTTATCTGTAAGAAATATTATACTATAAATGGCGCCAAACTAAAACAGATTTATCTAGTTTTGATTATACTTTCCTACTTCACATAAAATCTCACTGAAACTTGGCTCATCGATAAAGCTTCTTAGAAATATTAGTACCTACGTCGAAATGATTGTGACAAAGAATTTTATTAAGATAAACTACTTTACAAAGGACCATAATTGAAAACAAGATTCTCATTGGATTTGAATTTGACAAAAGGCTGTTAATAGTTACTACTTACTTATTCCCAAAAATCTAATCCGATTCAAGTGTAGTTAAATTTTCTTGGACAGCCCTGCGATTCTGTAACTCACTTTTCGAACTCACACAGCGGTTTTAGGATCGCCGGTCGCTCTCAAATCAGTCGTGAAGCAGTCATTTTATGATTTGGCATTCTGAAAAGGTGGAAGCTTGTAGTTTATTGTTTATTAGAGTGCCAAATCATAAAATGACTGCTTCACGACTGATTTCAGAGCGACCGCCGATGCGAACACCGCTGAGTGACTTCGAAAAGTGAGTTACAGAATCGCAGGGCTGGCCCTTTATGTGACAACCTAGATCTCTTGTTCCAAAGTTAGCTTGCCCCAACACGCATATTTATTTCATGCTTATAGATATTTTAAATATCGTCAATACAAAAGTTGTGAATGTAAAGATATTATGGTGATTAAAATTAATTGGTTTAACAATGCTATCTAGTACCATAATATTATATACACTGGAATTCACCATAACTATAGCATAATGAATTATTACAATTAAAAAGGTAATAACATAAAAAGCGCAGCAAATATTTATTTCACAACAAATAACATTCTTAGTACAACAATTTAACTGGCAGTTCCTGAAATCAAATAACAAAATATGCCTCATGCCTCTATTCACTATAATATATTTCTTCATCGTTATTAATTATATATTAATTTTGATTTTTATTTACGTACTTCGTATATTATGATCTTGCTGCGAACATTTTTAGTTTTTAGTCATTTATAATAATAATAATAAAGCCTTTAATCAGATAGAAATAATAACATAATTTTAAACTTAAACTTAACACTAGTGAGTCGGTGACACCGACAACCCATCTGTTTGCCCAACTTTGGCAAAGGCCTCCTCCATTTCTCTCCACTCTGCTCTGTTCTGAGCTTTCCTGGTCCAAATTTTCCCAGTTACGGATTTTATTTCGTCTTCCCATCTTCGAAACTGTCTACCTCGTTTTCTTTTATTATTTCTTGGGTACCAATATATGATCTTTTTGTTCCACTTTTCTATACCTCTTATTACGTGACCAGCCCATTTCCATTTCAATCTTCGTATCCTCGTTGTGACGTCTTCAATCTTCGTGTGGTTTCGTATGATTTTATTATTGATTCTGTCGGACTTCCTGATATTTAGCATGCTTCTTTCCATCGCCGTCTGGCATGTCTTCAATTGCCTGGTTTGCATTTTAGTGAGTGCCCAAGTTTGGCAGCCGTATGTTAATACCGGAAGTATGCAAGTGTTATACAGCTTTGATTTGACATTTATTTTTATTTCTGTGTTTTTCATGATTTCGCTAAGCCCCCAGTAACATTTCCACGCTTTCCCAATTCTTGTATCAATTTCCTTCGACATTATACCAGTGGTTGAGATCTGTTGGCCCAGGTATGTGTACTCTTTCACATAATCAATTGACTCTCCATTTACTATAATAATATCTTCTGATGCATTCGTCATGGCTTTAGTTTTTGAGGTGTTCATTGTTAGCCCTACCTTGCGGCTTTTCCTCTCCAGGTCTGTAATCATAATTCTTAGATGCTCTTTGTTTGTAGCAAATAGTATGATGTCATCGGCGAATCGTAGGTGTGTTAGTTGTTCCCCGTTTATGTTTAGTCCGTACCCATCCCATTTTAATTCTCTGAAGATGTCTTCTAGTACAGCTGTGAATAATTTAGGTGATAGGGGGTCTCCTTGACGTACACCTCTATTTATTTTGATTTCTTTTCCTACTTTTTCTAGTTTTATTCTAGCGGTACTATTCGTGTATATTTTTATTTAATATTCTGATGTACTTTGGGTCGACTCCTTGATTTTTGAGGCAGTGCCAGATATTTTCGTGCTCTATTGAGTCGAATGCCTTGTTGTAGTCTATGAAGCAACAATAGAACGGCACATTGAATTCTTTGGTTTTCTCAAATATTTGTCTTACCGTAAGTATATGGTCTAATGTTGAATATCCCGCCCTGAAACCAGCCTGCTCTATAGGTTGATTTTCGTCCAGATTTCTGGTTATTCGCCGCAAAATTACTTTCGCAAAGACTTTA